TTAGGTTAGTTTTTTCTCTATGGGTAAATGCCTTAAGCTTAGCTTAAGTGATGTAATAAAAAAAAAAAAAGAAACATAAAGAAAAAAATTTTAAAAAGTCTCTTAAAAAAGGAAAATTAGAATACTGCATAAGGATGTGGAATTAGTTGGTTCGATTTTGAACTAAAACGAAAAGAAAGCCCCAAAATGAAGGTTTCTTTTTTTTTATTATTATATAGATTGAACCAGAATCAAACCAACTAGTTTTAATTCAGTTTGAGTAAATACAATTTTTGAATAATATTAGCTTAGTTTCTATACGTTTAAACTATAAAATTATCTCAAACTTTAGAAATTGTTGCAAAATCACTCATATTTTGGAACTTAGATATATTAACAGCTCAAACGCAGTTTTAGTTAAAGAAACCTAACACTTTATCGTTCCCAAAGTATTATCTCCGTCGATCGGTGGTTATCATCCCTGGGTTTTATGTTTAGATGGGTCAAGAATTGAAGTAATTATTCTCAAAATGTTGTCAGCATCCGCTTCCAAATTGGTTCCACTCAATTATTTCGGTTTTTCCATTCTATTCTCAGTGTCGTAATTACTACGACCTCCAACTCCAAGTCCAAGTGACCTTATCAAGAATTGTTGCATTCTCAACACAGCCACTACTCCAACATCCATTGACTCCTCTGCTGCATAGGTTAGTCTAGAGAGTCAGTAAACAAGAATTGAGTTTCCTACAAAACCTGGTGCCGAAAACCCGGAGAAACAAATCTTGACAACCAACAATAGTACATCTAGTAAACTATGTTTGAATAGACACCTCATGTCCAATACCCATTGTTGAGAGGGTGAAAGAGATGGAAAGTGCTAAGATGGTGCAGGTCCAGTTATTGGTGGTGGGTTGTACTGGAATTGGTTGGAGTTCCTCGTGCCTTTTGGAGGAAGTAGGATTAGAATAAAAAAACGTGCGTTTTGGTTAATATTTATTTTTGAATTAAATTTAATTTAAGATAGTCTAGTGAGTCCCACTTTGTATTATTTTATTATAAATTTTAGGTTAAATTTGAATTTAGAGTCCGAACATTTCTAAATTTGTAAATTGGGATTTTATGAAATAAATATCATTTTAGAGTGATATTGCAACAAATAGTAAAATTCAGAATATTTTTATAGAGTAAGCTAAAATTATAAATGAAATTGAACCAATTAACCAAACTAAATTGGTTTGGTTCAATTTTTGTGCTTTAACCCACCATACCCCTAATACGAAGCAAAGAGAAATAAATTTTGAATTTTCTCTTTGTTTTTGTTTTAATAAATAGATATACATATGCTTAATACTATATAATTAACAGATTTGATTTTTAAAGTTATAATTGTTATAAATAATTACTGAGTTTTAAAACTTTAAAAATATTTTAAGTGATGTCAATTGAGTAGTGGTGGTCTGATTGGTCTTCTTATTTATATGAAAAGTGTGAAGTCTCGAGTTCAAATTATTCTTACCATAATTGTTTTCACCAATTTAATGAGTCAAGAGGAAAGCTACTCCTTTTGTGTAGCCCACAGTATTATTATGGTCCATAAAAACAACCTCCAATGAATTAAAAATATATATATTATAGAAGAATAAATAAAATAGTAAAAATAAAATATCAAACAGCGAGAAAAACGGAGATTTGTCTTGTAATTTGACTAATTTGGAGTTCCTTATTAAGGACTGAAGCCATTAATCACCTTTATTTTTCTGAAAAAAAAAATAATAAAAGGAATATTAATTATAAAATGGACATTTTGCATCAAAATCTGTGGAGACAAAATAATGTGACCTTCAGCTAATTCCTTGTCTGTATTTGTATTATTAGTTTACGTGCAAGTGATTACAGCATTATATGCTTAGAAAAGATAGGGAAGCAAACGACTTTATATGGAAATGTTTTTGCTCTACGCAATATTGAAATGAATGCCATTTTTAGTACAACAATGTCCTTGCAATAATTTTCTCACTGAATTCTTATACTATTATTTAATTACATTGTGGGTAACAACTGGCAGTTTACCTAGGATCTTATGTTCATATTGTTTGCACTCCAACATTGTACAAGAAATATATTTGGATTTACGTATAATCATTGGAACAAATTAAAAAAAAAAAAAAGGAAAAGGGAAAGTTTTCTTTACCTAATCCGATATTATTGAGTTTCCATATAGATCAAGAGGCATGGCCACTCTATCATGGACATTGATATAGAGACGGCAATTCTTTACCTAATCCGACACGACTAGATGTTAATGGGTTCGAGTGGTGAATAAATGAGTTTGAGACAAGTTTAGATAATATTTTTTTAATATTGATATATTTATTAATAATCTATTGAGCTTTTGGATAAATATTTACTTTATTGATGAAAATTAAACTTTAAATTTAAAAAAAGAGTGAAATCATTCAGACTTAAAATGTGGAGTTTGAACCATTAATTCTCAAAAATGAATTCATCATGAGAATAAACTCTATGAGAAAGGACACATAGTAAGATGGTGGGTAATGGGGACAAAATATCTCTACACATGCATTGTAAAATTCACATCACCACATTTTTTACCACAGTGAAAAAAATCTGTGAATCAAATTCCCCATAGCCTTTGATTCCTCTACACAGACCAGTCCACAAGTGTACGTCTAAAAGATAGATGAATTGAATATTTATAAAAAGCAAGATTTTTTTAAAAAATATATGATATTAAGTATCCTTAATTATCTTATTTTCTTGAAATTTTTTATTTTTACCCAAAGATGATAATTGAACATTTTTGAATTATTCTTTTACAAACCTACTTTCTTATATATATATATAAAAAAGAGTAAATTTCTACGAAAATATTTTTAAAAATAATTGCATATATGATTTTGAATTTTCAATACTAGATTTATGGTTTATATTTTTAGAAATAATATATCTAATAAAAAATTCTTTAAAAATAAAAAATATTATGCATTTATTTTAATATAAACTATAAATTTATAGTGCAAAATTATGCTTTTTGAATGCAAATCAAAATTTAGCAAGTGAGTTAAACCTAATTCCATTTTTCATTATATATGTTTAGCAAAGCAAAAATTCCCACAATCTTATCCCATTCATATGAAATTAATTTCTCTGATTGCAATAATGACTTTGCTTTAACTGTTTTTTTATAAGAAAAGTGAAATTATATTTTATTATATGGAAATAAAACATATATTAAATTTTGTATAAATATTTTTAATATTAATTGTTTATGTAAACGGTAATAATTAATAATTTGATTTAAAAAATCCAACTGAATTGACAAAACATTAGACTTATATATTTTCAAGATATACACTTTATTTTATCATCACTATTCAACTCGTGATTTTTCAATAAGCCCCATCTGATAATCTAGACCATTGAATTTTGCATCGGTCTTTTTCATTAAATGACCGATTAACTGTATATGTTTCCATGTGATCCACACCCTCATTCCAAAGTCTTTACAATTGACTTTTCCTTTTCATTGTTTTTTCCTCCTGAACCGGAAGAAAAATAGTCTTAAGATTGTCAGTTTGGCACACTTATATAATTATTATGTTATATTTTAAAAAAGTATATTTATGGTTTTAACAGCAAACACTTATATAAACGCAGCATTAATTTATAAAAATCAGTTCAAATATTATATTATCGAACACTATAAAAAATTACATTTAATTAAAACGTTAAAAATTACTTAAAAAATTATCGCCGATATGGTTTCAATATTAAATTATGATGAATAGGACAAGTTAGTAGAAATTTAAATTATAAGATCTCTTTGAAAAATATCTCAAATCATAAATAAAAAATAATTATACAAATCCTGTCAGTGGTGATACAATAAAAAGGATTTGAAAATGAAGAAAAATAAAAAAAATGCTAAACAACAAAACCATGTATAGGATTCGAATTCTTTAGAGTTTGAAAATAAGAAGTTGTTTACGATTCTTCCACATATTCTCTTTGACGCTGCCCACCAAAAATTGTAGGCTGTTTCAATTTCTAAAACATTTCTTCTGGTCTCCGTCCAAAAACTCACATCACGTGTTCAATAAAAAAAAAGATGCAAATACGAATATTACAAATTTTAATTTTTAATTTATAAAAATATTACGAATTAATTTCAATTTAATTGTGTTAAATTGTTTTTTATTTTTTTTTATCTTTTAGAAATATAACAGTAATTTTCAGTTGTGGATGGATGAAAATTATATTCACTTGACAAGAATAAAAAATATTTAATATTACTCTAAATTTGAAGTTGGATTTATTTGGAAACAATTCAAATAATTAGAAACTAATTTAAAGCAAAATTTGGTTACAGCTTATTTTGAAACGTACTCTATATTTTTCAATCATTTTTAATATTTTTATACTATAATTAAGAAATTAATTAAATTACTTTTCTTATAATAAAATAATTCTTAATTTGGATTAAATTACATTTTACGACACATGATTATTTCAATCTCAATAATTCTCTTTCCATTAATTTATCACTAAAATTAAAAAAAATAAATAAAAATATCGTAGGATAAATTGAAATTTTAATCGATAGGCATTTTGTTGCCCGTGTTTTATTAATTTTTTTTATTAAATATTAAATCTTTAAAGTATATAGATCTCATCTCTACTTTTTTTTTTTTTATGTACATGAAAAATTACTTTCACCTTTATTTTTTAATATTCAAAATTATTAACGAATATATTCAAATTTTATTTTTTATTATTTTTTATCCATTTAGTTTTTTATTTTTTAATTTTGTTTAATATTTAGCATAAATAAGGACGAAGAAGAGTAGAAGACTACATTGACTAGTCGCACATCTCCTCCTACCAACACATGGTTGCACCGTCCACCCATACACCCAAACAAGGACAATAATAGCCTTCACTACTACCCATCACCGCACTATATAACGCACAACTGCTCTTGCTCACTTCACCACTGGATTCCCTTACTTTCTCTCCTCTCAAACACCAACCAAGAAAATTCAATTCCTATCATCTTCCTCGTCAAAATGGCTTGTACAACCTCACCTCTGAAAACCGCCGCTTACTTTGCAAGACTATCAAACAAAACTTCACCTACCATCACCAAATCATTACGCTTGCCTTCCATGCCTGCGAACCCATCTCTCTCTTTTTCGTCAAAAACTTCCATTTTTAACAACAGAATCAATAATACCTTCTCTGTACCTAAGAGATCTTTCTCCTGCAAAAGCCAAGCATCTGATGATTCCACACCCAGTGAGTATTTTTCTCTTTCTTTTTTTTTATTTTTTTATGAGTAAATATTAAATAATCCTACTTACTGATCTTTTCGAAAATTATTATTATTATTATTATTTTGCAGGTAAGTTTCAAGAACTGCATGTTTATGAGATCAATGAGAGAGATCGGGGAAGTCCCGCCTATCTTCGATTGAGCCAGAAAGAAGTTAATTCTCTTGGAGATCTTGTGCCTTTTAGCAACAAAGTAAGTAATTTTCTGTTTGGTTCTCGAGAAAATCTTTTTTTAATCTTATTTTAGAAAATTTCTATTCTCCTACTTTACTTACGAAATTAGTCTTGACAGAAATGGGTAGAAAAGGATGTATAGATACTTTTAAAAAATTTAAAAAAAAAAAAAAAAACAGAAAAAGTTAATTTTCTGTTTGGTTTCGAGAAATCTTTTCTTAATCTTATTTTAGAAATTTCTATCTCCCTTACTTTACTTACGAAAATTAAGTCTTGACAGAAAATGGGTGAAAAGGATGTATAAATACTTTTAAAAAATTTAAAAAAAAAAAAAAAAAACAGTTTTAAAAAATTTAAAAAAAAAAAAAAACAGAAAAAGTAAAAAAAAAAAGTTTCAATCTTTTTCCCAAAAAAAAATTTATTATTTTTTTAATTATATATATATGTATATATATTTAATTCGTTGGTGCTGAGCTTAAAAATTAATAACGCCACGTGATATACAGCATGAAACTAAATATAAAATTCAAACTCGAGAACTTTGAGCGAGTGGATACATTTAGTAAAGTGATGAAATTATTTTTTATAGTAAATTCTTTGGCATTATTAGGAGAAATTCTGTTAAATTTAAATATGCAATTGAGTTCATATCTATTATTTAGAAAAAGAAAAATCAACTGTTAATTATTTTTGAATTGGGTATAAGTATGATTTGCATGTGTCTGAGCAGGGTATTTTTTGCTGTCTGAAACCTTTCTCAGTTTATAACTAATGGTGTTACATTTGAGGTTAAACTAATTTTTACTGGAATACCGACATGGCATAGCTCATAAATAATTATTTTATTCTCATCCATTGAAATAGTTATAAAAGTTAAGTAGCATATTGGTGCATGTTACATCACTTGGAAATTTTAATTATTATTATTATTATTATTATATTATTGTGATTACAGCTTTACACCGGGGACCTGCAAAAGCGGATAGGAATAACAGCAGGAATATGCATTTTGATCGAACACAAAGCGGAAAAGAAAGGTGACCGGTATGAAGCAATATACAGCTTTTATTTCGGGGATTATGGTCATATAGCGGTGCAAGGGGCATATTTGACTTATGAGGACTCGTATCTTGCTGTGACTGGTGGGACGGGAATATTCGAAGGGGTGTCGGGTCAAGTTAAGCTCCGGCAGCTTATTTTCCCTTTCAAGCTATTTTATACCTTTTATTTAAAGGGGATTAAGGATTTGCCCGAGGAATTGGTTGGGAAGCCGGTTGAACCACACCCAGCTGTTGAGCCCCACCCTGATGCTAAGGCTTGCCAACCACATGCTGCTCTTGTTAATTTTACTGATTAATTATTAATAATTTCTGCTAATTGTGGTTAATTATTATCAGTTGTAGTAATCCGTGAGGGGGATTTAAACGATTAAATATACTTGCGTTTTGGTGCTTTTGTCTTTATTGATCTAATAAAAATAAAATTTTAATTTGATAGTTTTGTACTATTCCACACTTCAGCAATTTTCAATTAAATGTGTACTAATATGATAAACAGATCCGATAAATTATACTGATGATCGTTAAACTTTACACTCGTGAGTTAACTCACGGAATTTTAATCTCATTTTTTAGTCATTAAATTTTAATTTTTATTTCAACAGTAAATTACTTGGTCGGAAATACAAACAAATAACAATCATTCTTATAATTTAGTACAAAAATTTTATTTTCTTCACTTTAGTCCTCTAATTTTTGAAAATTTTATTTTGGCCTCATCAAATTCTAAAATCCATTTATGCTGTGTAAAATATTTAGATTTAGAGGAAAGGAACTAGGAAAGGGAAATGATGTTGACTGTGATTGTGAATGGGCAACAATAATATTGGAATATCATTTTCCTTCTGTTTGCTTTGTTTTAGTGCTTTTTGGTTGTCCATTGTCATTGTTGCGTGGCGGGGTTACGCTGATACGCACCTTAACGATGTTATATTGGGCTGTCAGTGGCTTTATGGCAAAATAAATAAAAAGTATTTTGGGGCCAAACTTAGTACTACCCTACTAGGTAACCTAACTATCAATGGCTAACATTCAATCACATATTTGAAAATACTATATACTGCTGAAAAAAAAAATTATATTTTGTTAATTAAAAAAATTTTATTTTATGATAATAATATATTACAATATTATAAGTGATGTTTTTTTATTGATTTCTTTAATTTACGGACATAGTTTTTATTAGACTAAAATATTATTTTTATTATTTATAATGTTGTTTAAAATCTAAAATATTATTTTTATTATTTATTCTTATAACATACAATAAAACAACTAAATTTAGGTACAATTAAAAATTATTAAAATAATATATTTTACAAAATGAATGTAAGGTTCACAATTTTTCCACGTGCAGAATATTAGTGCTGTGAATACAGAATAATAATTTATTGCCCCGTGGAGGGCATGTTACCATTACGTGTCATCGAAGTAACCACAAACTAATAATCATTGGGTTGAGTGGCCATTGATGATAATTTTAAATATGAATGATACACTTATTTCATCACATGATGGATACAGCTATTAACTTTTAAGTTTTGCCTAATACATAATTTCATATGCATAAATTTATTTTTTACCAAAAGAAATATAAAATTAAAATTAATTATAATAATATATGTGAAAAGAATAGTGATTTTTTTTCGTAATTTATATTTTTTTAAAAATTAAAATTTATTAAGTGAATATTAGAGAATAATAATCATCCACCTTGAATGTTATTAAAATTAATTCCTTATTTTCATAACAAATGTTCATCTGTTGATTCATTTTTGGTCTATTTCTTGCCATTAATAATTTAAATTGACTGTTTACTCTTAGTCAATTTAAAATTTATTTCTTATCCAAATGAAAGTTGAACCCCTTATTTAGAAAAAATGATTTCGTGAAATTTGTTTATAAATCTAAATTTTTACATTTGGTATGAAAAAAAATTGTAAAATTCAATTTTTTAATTTGAATATAACTAAATCAAATTTTACAAAAAAAAAAATGAGATTTTTGAATGAATTCTATAAATTTGAACAACCCAAAAAAACTTTATGATAAGACTCTCCATCCCTTTTAAAATTATTATACCAAAAATATTTTATAAATAAAAACAAATGGATTTTCAATTCTTAAATTTATTCCAATATGAAATCTATTTACATAATTCATTTGTAAATGAATCTGAGTTCATTATATGCAATGGAACGTTAAACAGTTTAATACATTATAAAATCAAAGATTTCTTTAATTCTCATAAATATAGTTCCATCTTCGGAAAACTTACTTATTGGGAAACTGAAAAATTTTTATGCTCTATAGTCTAAAACGGATTACACCTTCTAATTTTACTTTTAAAAAAATTTCAAAATTTCATGGACAAGATCGACAAAATCAAGGTTTTAAACATATGTTTTGTTAAAAAAAATTAGAAAAAAAAAATAAAAATTAAAGTTTGTAATTTGACTTTGATTTAAAATAAAATAGACTTAAATTGTCCATCAAACTTTATCCTTGGAAAATTTCAGAAGATCACATCTTTATGTCAAAACATGTCGATGTCGATGAAGATAAAAATTATCTTAATAACATAATATTTTTCCCAACAAGACAAAATAAAATTGAGAGCAAAGCATATATCTAATTACAAGATGACACCACGTGATTGGAACTTCAATTCATCTTACCTAAGGCAAGGCTAATCAAATAAACAATTAGAGTTTGAATCTCACTTATACTATAATTTAATTAAAAAAATAAATTAAAGAAAATTATAATATTAGCTAGATTTGATTGGATTCGAATTTGCAACTAACAACTCTACAGATAAATTAATTGACTATTCTAAAAAAAAAAAAAAAATTAGTGGTGATAATAAGATTCCCCAACAATTGAGCAAAAACTAGTTACCGACAGCGGTTGATCGATGAATATTGATGTTCAATAACAGTTTGATAACAATTGATGTTAGAATGTAAAATGACTATTAAGGGTATAATAGTTTTTATATATTATGATATATATTTATATATATTTAGAAATTTTATGTAAATAAATTATTTTTATTCTTAATGTTATTATATAAAAAACATATTAGTTAAATTTTTAAAAAATCATATTTAATAGATATTTTCAAATAATTATAAAAATATAATTTGAAGAAAAATTAATTTTATTATTAATTAATTTTATAAGGTTAATGTAGTTGAATTATAAAACAGTACAAATCAACTACTAATTGATATAGAAAAGCTCCATAATGTAGCTAATGCAATTAGATGCTTATTGAAATTTCTATCAACTATCAGTTGTTAATTAAAAGATTATCAAATGTCTACAAGTTAACTGTTGGATGTGTTCTATTCACTATTAGTCGCTAATTAAAAAATTATCAAATGCCTATAATTTAACTGTTGGATGTAAACCAACTATCTCTGAATCAGTTGAATCAAACGTGTTTTATACATATTTTTGCTGCTAGAGGAAATGAATGATATATGAAAAGTTAAAGAGTGATGCCTTAGGACCAAAAGATTCTAAATTTTGTCCCTCCTTCCTCATTTTTTTATCCGCAATCATTTTTTTTCTTTTTTATTATTATTAGTCAGAAAAAATTTTACAAAACTAAGCATTTATACTCAGACTAATATGTATTTCCATACATCGAAACTTAATTCGATAATATTAAGTGAAAAAACTCGATAAAATAATACATCACTATCAACCTCTAGTGAAATCAAATTCAAGTAAAAGAGGAATTGTTTCTACTTCTCTCTGGCCAAACCTAATAACCAATTATTTCCTATCCTATATGGGTTGCCCTTAATAAGCCTTGTTGATTTTATGAGATAGAATTTGAAGTCTGCTGAAACTAAAGAACTGTAAAATATAACATTGTACATAATAATTCTATCGAAAAAACATAATAAAATAAATTTATGTTTTTTTAGAACGTAACATGTGACATATTCTTTTCCAGATATTGAATATAGCTGTCTTTGTTTAAAAAAAAAAAAAAATGCAATGCTAGACACTATATGTAACGATTTATATTTTTTTCTAAGAGGTGACATGTCACGTATTCTTTTTATAGGCTTCCAACTTGGCACTTTAATCGTACACCTAACATTTCCGCTTTCTTTAATAAGATTAAAAAAAAAATATCAGCAATAGTAAAAAGTGTGAAATAAAGATTATTAGAGTCTGTTTCGGTAAAATTAACTATTTTGTTAGTGATTTTAATAGCATTTAATTGTTCACTGTTTGAGTAGTTTTTGATGAAATGCTAAAAATTAAACGTTATATGGATTAACTTTTTACAACACACTACTTTAACCAATTTATCAAATACTATAAGAATATTATAAAAATTAGCGTTAAATGTTTTGACCGTAAAGGTGATATGTACATGCACATACACATACATCCAAGTCTCTTTCATCCATGTAATAACATTGAATTTTTTAGGAAGAAAGTGATTTTAGTTTAGATTTAAACGTGTAATAACAATTTCATAAAAGAGCAAATTTGTAATTTAAAATTTTGGTTAAATTATTTATGAAAAAAAAAAGGTTCAATTGCACATTTTTATATAAAGAATAAAGACTATGAATATGAATTTCATTGCACAATATGGTTATTTTTTTGGCTCAATACATAAATTCATCTTAATACTTTTTATTGTGGTACCTATAATTTTTATTTTGATCTATTAAATATTTCAATTTATAAAATTAGATATATTAAACACTTCTTATATTTATTAAATACATCAACTTATAAAATTATATCTATTAAATATAAACACTTCTTTATATTTATTAAATACATTCAACTTATAAATTATTAAATATTTCAATTTATAAAATTAGATATATTAAACACTTCTTATATTTATTAAATACATCAACTTATAAAATTATATCTATTAAATATTTATTTAACATAAAAAGAAAAAAATATTATTTTAAAAGTTATATTAATCAATAAAATCAATTCTTTTTACTCATAAAAGTCAAAAAATAAGAATTGTTGTTCTAGTATAAAAAGATGTAAAATTATTATAGAAAACAAAGTTCAAGAAACCTCTGAGGTCAATTTTAAAATTTATAGAATTTTTTTTTGTCAAAATTCAGAATTAAATTATATATTCAACCGTTAATTTTTTATTTACTATTCTGTTTCCTGGAAAAAGAAAATTATAAAAATTCATTTTTCATAAAACACAATACAGATACAGTTCAGGTGCACAAGATACTATAATGGTAAAATCAATATTAGTTTGGACTTATAAATTATTGCTATTAGTATAATATAATATACTATAATATTCATTAATTAAAATTCTTGGATCCCCCACCCCACGGAGAAGCAAAGTACTTGCCCACCAAAAAAAACAAGAACCCAACAACACAAAAAATAATCACACGCAGAGAAAGAAAAGCTTCCTCTCTCCAATGTCCTAACAGCAAAATTTGAGGTTGTTTTGATCCTCTAATGGTACTTGTCCAATCCTCCTCCAAACTTTCCCTCCCTCCTTCGCCACAGACAACTTCTTTCCTCTTTGAACCAAATTCTCTCTCTTTAGCCCTAATGCACTCTGATTCCTCCCTTTCTCTCTTTCCTTCCCTTCCCTTTCCCTCCCTTTCTTCTCTCCCTTCCAAACCCCAAACCCTAATCCCCCCTCCCTCTTCTTCCTCCTCCTTCATCCTCCTCCACCAACAGAATTCTGACCCTAGAGTTCTGTTTCTTGTTGCTGGCCCTCATTTGGGTGGTTCCCAGATTCTGTTTAGGCTCTATCTTCTTCAGAAGAACAATCTTTTCACTAAAGCTCAGGTATTCTGCAATCAGAAAGGACTTTGGTTTGATTCAAAGTCTGGAGTTTTCATGGACGTAAATCATGGGGTTTCAATAAAGATTGTTGGGTCTATTAATTTTTTTGTGATGTATTCAGTTTCAAGTAGGAAAGTTTGGGTTTTTGCATTGAAGCTTATTGGTGATGGTAATGGTGAAGCTGATGTGGTGAAATTGATGAGATGTGCTATTATTGAGTGTTGCACGCCGGTTTGGTCTATGAGTGTTTCTTTTGGATTCTTGATCCTAGGGGAGGATAATGGAGTTAGGGTTTTTAATTTGAGGCAGCTAGTGAAAGGGCATGTTAAGAAAGTTAAGGGTTTGAATTCAAATGGGAATTTGGATTTGAATGGGAAATTGAAGAATAAAGGGTTGAGATTGCCAAATGGGGTTATTGGTGGTGATAATCACAGTGGTTCTACTGCTTGCAATGGTTTTTTGGATGGGAAATTTGATAAACATTGCGTTTCAGGTAAGAACGCTATTTTTTATGAGTTAATTTTTTGCGTTCTTCTTATGTTGATTATATGCAAAAATAGTCTTGCTAGAGAATGTGGAAATTTAGTAACTAGATATGATTGTACAATCTTGCTGTTTAGACTGTTGCTATACTACTGTTTTTATCATAATCCTGCCAATTGTATCATATTTTGTATTCTGTTAATTGACTCTGTGATGTCTTTAGATAAAGAGGATACGAAATTGAGGGATTTGGATTGTTTTGTTGATTAAGTTGCTTGAATGGAGTTTGCAGTGCTGATATAGAAATTGACTAGTTTCATAAATGAAAATGCTAATGAAGGCATAACACTTAGTATTATTTTCTTCGTATTTAACTAAAAGCTGAAATCAAAATTCTTGAATTTAAAATTTTCTTTCTGGTGGCAAACTTAGAGAAATTCTCGCTGAAATTGGAGTCGAATTGCTTTGATTTCACTTTGGCCATGCACTTTTAAAGGATGTATCTTGCTTGGCTGGAGAAAAGGTATTGTTTGCCCATGGTTCCTTTTCTGCTAAGTTTGGATGGAACAATTTCAAATGAGGGATGTGGACATAATTGTAGTTTAAATTGTTGAGCAAAGGTTAGCCTATTGTTTAATTACTTACATTAATGAATGAAGACTAATTTTAGAAATGACGATGAGGAAATATTTGAAGTGGATTTAAAATTACAACTTCTTATAGGCATATCAAAACCACACTCAGATAGGATTTTTATCATGAACCTAATCTGCATTTATAACTCTAATTAATTTTTTTAGCGTATGTATTATCAAATTCAAATATACAAAACAAATCCTCTGTCCAAAAGTGAGGTCAGTGAATTTTCTTCTTGTAGAAGTCATAATGAGATAGATTAGAAGAACGGTCACCCGTGCAGTTTTTAAAATACATGACATATGTGTCATTTGTTTGCTCGAACTACAAAAGCATCTAATGAAGCCAATTTAAAGGCTTGGTGGATCGATTTTCTCTTTTATGAATTTTTGGGAGGAAGGAAAATGTATTTTTCTATTTTGAATATCCTAGTGAAGATATATAGCCATGCCTAATGTATCTAGTCAATACTATCATCAAACTACACATTTCTTCAGTTTTCCTACTTCCGAGACAGAGTATTAAGGAATAAAATCCATCTTGCTCGCATTCCTGTTTCTAGTACATTTAATGAACTTGTGTTGATTGCTTCAATTAATGAGCATTCATCAGTGCTTGCTATATTTATGCCTTCAAAAAGAGCTGAGCTTCAGCATAGTTGGTTTAGGTGAATATAATGTGTTGGTCACAACTCACAACTTGTGATCATATTCAGAATTATGCAGGCTTTGGGTTTGCAGTACGTATGAAAATTTAGCTACCTTGTATACATTGGGGTACTGGAATGTGGGTTTTTTAGGAAACGGCATATGGAGTCTCTTTTGTGAAAGATGATAGAAAGCCTTTAGATTTGACATATTGAGTTCGAGTGAGCCCTTTAGTTTAGCATAGTGAAATTATTCACTAACAATTTTTCTTCTTTATTTTTTGACCCATTAAGAGTGACTCTATGTTGACTGATTCTTGCTGTTCATTTACCTTTTTCTTTGCCAAACAAATGATAATTCCATTTCAACTAGTGAAACCAATAATAGGAACAACTTGAAATATCAATAATAGATTTAATAGAATCTCGACTGTACTGGCAATTATTTATTCATCTGTACAGACTTGTCAATTTCTTTTCGATGGGGGGTTCATGTGTGAATTTGCCAATGTTTTTTTTTCTTGCTCTAGTTAGTTACAGTGACTCGATGTACATTAAGGTCTTGATAGGCCATCAAAGACATAACTGAAACAGTAGCAGTTCTTGGAGGAACAATCGAGTTAGAAACAAGTTGAAGGATTTGAAACTAATGAACAGAGTGAACCAATTTCAACTCTGGTTTTGAACTGTAAAATTTATAACAATATTTCTCCCTCTCTCTCTTCCTATCAAGTATTTTTTGTTTAAACTTCTTTCTTTTTTTTTTTGGTCTTGTTTGTGTTGAAGTGCTTGGTGACTGGCTGCCTGCCTTTGTGGATCAGTATCTTCATAACTTCTAGGATTTTTGTCACTTCCTGTGGTTTTCGGTAGCTTCATTAGTAAAATTCATTTATTTTATTTTATACATGCTCAAATTGCATATCCAAAATTTATCTCTTTATTGCAGTTTACTCTGACAGATTGTGTTTAGGAATTCTTTTTGACCAGGAAATTTGCAAGTCTTGTTAAGCAAGATGCTCTCCTTTGGTATAATTCATAAGGATGCCTCTAGACGGTAAATTACTGATTATTAGAAATCTATCTTGGATGAAGGGCTACCTCTTTTTCTTTTTCCTCTCTAATCCTTGGGGTGCCCAGTAAATCTTTGTTCTTTGTGTACAAGCTGTGTACACAATGATTTTGTGATACTTGTTCCATCTGGATTAGCTACATAGAAGTTGTTTTCATGCACATTTAGATGCGTGAGAACATTTCAAGTGTGGAGCTGATTGTGCCTTTTCACCGTGCAGTAAAGCAGAAGTCTATAAGGTGCAGACAAGATTCTGGTGAAGGGGATGCTTGTGTCGTGGCCTTAAAAAGCACAGAGGCCAAGGTCTCAAATTCAGCTGTAAAGGCAGTTTCCATCCAGGCCCTGTCTTCCAAGAAGTTTATGATTTTGGACTCTGCTGGAGATTTACATGTCTTGTGCCTGTCTAATCCTGTTGTAGGATCAACCATCAGGGCTCACATGATGCAGTTGCCTCACAGTATGAAAGTGCAAAAGCTGGCCGTTCTTCCTGATATTTCTTCAAGTATGCAGTTCTTATTTCTTTCCTGCAAATTTTGCTGTTGCTTACATGTTAAAAAATGGTTCTATGAAGGGGGTCATTGGTCTTAGAAAAGTGTGATCAAGGACCAACTTTGTCATGTGTAATCAAAATATCATAGGAGTTTGAACATGTCTGTTGATGAGTTGGGGTTATGTTTTTTGTTTTTCGTTTTTTTTTTTTTTTTTTTTTTTTTATGAGTGTAATCAAAATATCATAGGGTTTGAAACATGTCTTGTTGATTGAGTTGGGGTGGTTATGTTTTTTTTGTTTTTCGTTTTTTTTTTTTTTTTTTTTTTTTTTTTTTTTTTTTTTTTTTGGCTGGGGGATGGGGACCTGCTTAGATTCCAGGCAAAATGGGAACGGAGCTTCATATCATGTTTGATAAAAATGAAATTTAGATTTAGTGAAGCTTTCAAGTTAAGGACAATGATTTAGTGCCTTTTGGTCTTCTATATGGGAAAACGTTTGCTCGCTGGTTTTATCTTTTATAATAAGCTTGTTTACATAACTGAGGCAACTTGCCATAATCCTGCAGGAATTCAAACTTTCTGGATATCTGATGGATTTCATTCGGTGCACATGATGATGGCATCTGAAATGGACATTGCTGTTAATAAAAATGATGGAGATGAGAGTCAGGAAAAGCCGATGCAAATCTCAGGTTTCCATGAGCCCCTGCTTCTTCTTGCTTCTTTAATTTAGAGTTATCTTTCAATTTAAATTACAATTTTTTCATTCTGTTGCTTGTTTAACATTTAAATTCTACATTACCAACTATTCTATGAAATTTTTTGCATTGGAGCAATTTTGCAATTTCTTGATAGTATGGAAAATTTTGTCCAATAGATACTTGGCAACTGATTCTCGCCTGAATATTTTAAGAGATTTTCACCTTTTTTTTTTTTGGTTTGAATAAGTTCCAAGTTCTGGCATGAATTTTTTTTTTTGGTTTGAATAAGTTCCAAGTTCTGGCATGAATTCTCAGTTTCTGTTCCTTTTTTTTTTCCTCCCTTTCTGGCTCTTTTTCTTTTGCTAGTGATTCAAGCAATTTTTTCCGCTGAAAAGATACAAGATCTTGTACCATTGGCTGCAAATGCTGTTCTGCTTCTTGGACAAGGTAATCTTCAACTTTCTTCATTCTAGCATGCTACTTGAGCACTTGAATTTGAAAAGTTAGGAAAAAAGGTAAAGGATTGCTGATTTTGATATACTTACATACTCCTTAGACCATCATCCATCTCCCTCGAACAAGAAATGATAAGGGAAAAACTAAACATAAGTATATACAATTTTGTGGCTTATGATCAATACCATTATTCACATCATGCTTATGTTATGCCGTCTTTAATGGCATTGGTTTGTATATCTTGTTATCTTACAAAACTCTTAAAGATTTTTTAATTTCTTTGGTAATTTTCCTTGACGCATATTATTGGATTGACTTTTCCCAAATGATAAAGTTATTGACAAAAATAAAAATCATTTCTGATCTAATTTTATTTTTGGAACCTAAATAACTGAGTGAAATTTTGTGTAATCAAATATTTTCTTGACAATGTTTTTGCTGATTAAACAGGAAATATGTATGCCTATGCAATTCCCTGAAGTTTCTTGGAGTATATCTATTTATAAACGGTGAGTATCTGCACTGTATTTCTTCTCTCAAATATAAATATTGCTTCCACAGTACTGTCTTTTGATAGTCCAAGTTTTGTAGGAAGTCTATTTTCCAGGTCATATAGATGATTATCATTGTTTTATGGATTCCTGGATCAGTACTCTCATATGGAAGTGAGTGCTTTTGAATGGTTTCATTTAAAAACTCCATTTTTACTAATGTATAACTAATCTACATGTGGGATCTGACTTATCATATGTCCTGAATTTCAGTTGAGCACATTCTCCTAGTTACCATGGTTTGGTTATCTGTTGTCCTTATGTTGCTGAATTCATGAGCTGCGGTGGTTTTATTCTTATATTGGTATGTGAGACCTTGAGAACACTGAGCTCTTGAAGGTATGAAATCATTATCATTCTTTGTGGTTGTATATGTCATATCTGATGTATGAATATGAGAATAATTATTTAAAAAGAAAAAATAAGGTGATAGAAGGAAATTACCTGCATCTTGTCTTAAGCTGGCAAGAATAATTGCCTTTTCTTTTGAGCCTGTAAATTTTGTGGCATGAAATGCATTCTAGAATCCACTATACCTGGTTCTTCCTCGTACACAACTGTGTTTGAGTCGCATGCATTTGGAATGTGGCATTTTTTAAATTTGTTTCTTAACAAAAGAAGTCGGATTTTTTTTTGGTTTGTTCATATTTATTTTTTAACTGCGTCACTGGCTTTCTACAGCCATCGGTGTTGACCAGTTTATAAATGAAATTTACCATTCTCAATGCCATTCAATAAAAAAATGTATTCTCCCCAGAAACACAATCTGGGCTTGGATTAAGTTAAGATCCGTAACAATGATTCTGTAAGATTTTCTAAATGTTTCACTTTGTATGTACCATATCTTGCATTAATACATTAATTTGTATGTGCCATTTCTCGCATTGAACCTAGGATCATCATCATGCTAGATTGATGTAAATATTATGTAGTTCTCCAGAAAAAAAGGGGAATTTGTGTAGTACATTTTGTTTTTGAAGGAAGCATGATTTGAAGTTTTAAATAGATGAGAAACCATTGAGAGAAAAAGATTTCGGAATGTATGATGAGAGGCTTTAGATTTATAAACAAGGTGAGGAATAAATATTAGGCATTTGAGAGCCAAATAAAAAATTATTATAGTGGAGTAATTGTCATATGCGAACATTGATGAGAAAAGATTCTTGAGATTTTTTAATCAATCATTGTTGAAGAATGCATTGAGTTTTGGCTTTCAATATTACTCAGTTGATCATTCTTCTATCTATAAGACCATGTATGGTGACTGGTGTTGAGCAATGATCAAGTTAGCTGATATTGTCATTTAGACTGATTAGAAACAAAATATAGTTACTTAAAAAGTAATAGCTCCAATTTCGGTCCCCAATCATTTTCTAGCTGAGGTGATTTAAAAGGTGAAATTGGAGAACTGAGTGGGTTGCTAAAGTGGGCCCCACTTAACAACACTATATAGGTATCATATTTCATCGCCATGGGAATTTTTAAGTTTTAACATACACCAAAGTTACCTTATTATATGTGGATTTCTTTTGATAAAGCTGTGGGCAATGGGTAATCTTTGTGCTGCCATTAGTCTTCCAATTTGAATGTTGAAACAATTATGTTTATCATTTAAATCTAAAATTTTGAAGCTTCTTGTTTCAGCTGCTACGTTCGAGTAAAATTATGCATATCTATCTTGATTGCTTGATGACTAAACTAAGTTGCTTTCCTCTTTCATTAGCATTTATAATTGGCTCCATTCGATTTTATTAAAATTCTTCAATTTTTCAAGGTGAAATTAGAAGCACATGGATTCTTGTTATGGATTTTGGGATCTCAAAAGATGAGTCTATCCGATAACTCAAAGCAACCCCTGCTGCGCTACCAGCTTCTACTGAGTTGAGGAAAAATGTGCTGCAGAGTTCACATTGTCTTATTTTCAAGCAGAAGGCCAAAATAGCCATGAAATGAAGGTCATGAAATGACATTCTGAGTTTCTGTGCTGTTGCAAGACACAGGATTCAGCTATATGTGTCTGTCAATGTAAGCGGGTGGACTTGCCCCGCATAAACATGTAGCTCGACTCATGCTCGTTTTCCATTTAGGTGTGAGAATCAAGTGGCATGGTTGTTTTCTAAATTTCAATCATAATTTCTTGATATAATGCTATTCTCTATCAACTAATTGCTTTCTCTATTTTCACTTGGTTAAGAAAAGATGTGATTGAGAATGGTGCAATAGAAATTATACTATCTTACACATATATGGATAAAACTTGGTAAATAAGAAAACTCAAATCCAAAGCTTTTAATTTCTACTCTTTCAAAGAAAATGCAAAAGCAAAGCTATGAAATGTCATTCAAAAACTTCAAAGAACAAAGAAAAGCTGAATAAAAAGCAATGGGAAAAAGAGGATCTGTTTGGAAAACTTTATGGATTAAATGAAGCAGAAGAACCCAGTAAGAGAGACTGACAAGGAGCAAAGGAAAAAACAAGCTCCACAGGCAAACCCTATCAATGAAACCTACATTCCATACAAATGAGACAAAATTGATGGCCACGATGAGTCCTAAGTGGGACCCAACTCCTGCTCCCATAATATGAGGAGGACCCCTTTCTTTCTATCAATCTTTCACTCATTTTCATGAAGATGATGATAGTCACAAGACATGCACATGCACATGCTCGATGCACAGCACACCCACAATCACATATACATATTCCTCTTATGGACCCCCTATTATAGGCCCTATACCCTCATTTTCTTGTTTTTCCTTTCCATCTTATTATCCAAATAGCCCACTATGGCACTATCTGAAAACAACCCAACGTTGATATCTACTTGTATCTGTCACATCTATCTTCAACAAGAAAGAAAGGTAAATCTAGTACCAATAATTAAGTTCCTCTTTACATTTAGTTATGGTGATGTAACTAAATATCTTTCTAGTGTAATTTTATATTAGAAATACTTTTATTACATTATATTTTGGAAAAATTAAAATTAATTTCTAAATTATAGTTAAATCAACAAGTGAGCACTTTGTATAATTTCGGTGACATTTTGGTCATTCTATCCAAAATAGTCTCTTTTAATTGTCATTTCACTAAGAAATTGATCACTAAATTATAATCAAACTAACGAGATCACTACTTTATAATTTCTATTAATATTTTGGTCCCTTTGTTTTGGAAGGAATGACTAAAATTTTAATAAAATTATAATTTAAGGATCTCACAGCTAATTTTCAAAAATAGAAGTCTTCATATATTAATTTGACTATATAAAGTCAATTTATTTATTTTTTTCTTATATTATATTTCATTATGGTTTACCCCATGTAAAATTAATTTAGTTTGATGAACTAATTGAAAGTATTTTTAGAGTAAATTTCACATTAGAAAATCTATTTGATTACATTATACTCAGTTCTATTAGTTATGAAATTGCAAATTTAAAATTTAATAAAAGTAAATTAATCAATAAAAAGTTAAAAATTTACCGAATATAACCCTGAAGACAGAGACGCACAAAAAGTTACTAATATTCTGAATTCATATAACAATCAATCATTTTAGTCCCCGATTTAGTATGCAAGTCTCCACTCAGTACTATCATTATCAAGTGTGTATAAATATTTGTATCGTCATTGTCACTATATTAATTTTTTTTTATTTAATAGATAATAATGTTAGAAAATCAAAGATTTAATCTATGAAAGTTTATGATTAATAAAAACGTTGAAATATATTTATATAATACAATTGAAAAGCTCGTAGCTCATAAATTATAAATTACGTATAAATACATGCGATTTACGAAATCAACTGCTCCATCTCTATCTTTTTTAAAATACACCAATTTTTTTTATGTTTTGTTTCCGTTACACTATTGGATTTTTCTGTTCAATTTTTGTATTTTTTTTCATTAAGTCAATAAGAAAATACAAAAATTAAATGAGAAATACAAAAATATTATATCAAAATAATTACAATAAAGTCCTTATGGTTTGAAAATTACAAATAGTCTGTCCTTTTATTTTAAAAATTAAAAAAATATTTTTTTCATTCGTAAAGTACTTAACAAAAAAAAAATGTAAAATTTGGATAGAAGAAACTTATAGTCTCACGGAAATAAACAATAGGAATGTTTTAGTGTATTTTAAAAAAGACTGAGATAGACTACTTGTAATTCGCGATCTATGTACAAACCACATAGATCATACCATATTTTCCCAATAAAATATAATATATGATATGTATTAATATATGTAAAATTAATTACATATTTTAATAGAAATTTATATTTTAATAGAAACCCGACTAAAATTTTAGTAAATAATTAAAATTATTTAATTAATAATTATCAACTACCAAATAATTATCATTAACTGCTATCATCCATCAATTATCACTAATAACTAAATTAAATATACTATCAAAATAATTGGAAAATATTAGAAAAAATTAAAAGTAATTTTTTATTTGAATATTCTACTGATTATATGTATCACATGGAAACAAAATTGAGTAGGATCCAAATTTGCTATTATGTTTTACCACATGAACATGTTAATGGTGGAAGTTGGCAACATCACCATTTTTTTTTTAAAGAAACTCATTTATTCTTGTAATGATTCTTTTTCCACTTTTAGAAGAACAATGGTGACAGTAATGGTTGATGCTTTCACTCATTGAAAGAATTTTATTTTTATTTTATGTTATAACTAAATAGAATATTGAAGTCAATCATGGTGATCTGTTTGATATTTTCATTTATATGAAAAGTAGGAAGTCTCGAATTCGAGTTCTTTCGACTATAGTTATTTTCATCAATTTAGTGAACCAAAAAGAAGACCGCCGATATTGTGTAGCTCGCAATGTTATTTCGATTCATTGAATTTAAATTCAATATATAATGATGAAAATAGAAATTGCATCAAAATTAGAACCCAAATTATTGATGAATATATTGTACTATTTGAAACCCTTTTTATTTGTTCATACACACTTTTATAGTGAACATTGAACCCATTTGGAATATTGGAATTATATTGTCAAGCTAGTTTTGAGTTATGCAACAAAAAATAGTGACCCACCATGTACCACATGAACCCTATTGCTCATATATACACTACATTACAAATAAATTTTAAAATTGGCTTTGTTTAGTTTGTAGAATGAGATAGTAAGCCATAGAGTACCTATTTTATGTAGTGAATATTCGTAAGTTATGAAATTTGTTTTTCGTAAAATTGAAATATCCACACAGACCTATATTATTACATGTTCGAATAAAAGTTTAGAACAACTACCAACTATCAGTTGGTCGAGTGAAATGAAGCGTTAGATTCCTTAAACAATATCTAAGGTTCAATCTCTGTCGTTATGAATGGAAAAAACTGGATTGGAAAGGTCGCTCTTATAATGAGCCTTTGCAAAACCTGAATCTCTATTAGTCAGTTAAGCTGGATAGAATCTCTTATACTTTGTAAATTTTACAATTTTACTTTATTTTGACTTTCTTATTATTAATTTTGCTATTTTAACCTTTTGTAGCAATAACATCCTCTTTTGGAATTAGCAAAAGTGAACTATATCTTCAAAAGAACTTTACATGTGAGGTTATGGTTCGAAATTTGAAGTCATTTTTGTTGTTGATGATCCTAGTGCTGCTGCTAATAAAAGTTATACATATCAACAGATGATTAGATTAGTAAAAGTGAACTATATTTTCAAACGAACTTTACCTATAAGGTTAGGGTTGAAAATTTAATGTCCGAAGATTTTATCCTGACTATAACCCTAAATTCGAGCATTGAAATATGTGTAGAAAAAGTTGCAATTTTTGGTTGGTCAGATTGTAATTTATACAGATATAGAGTTGGAATCCCACATTAAATAAAATAGTGAATATATAAAGATATATAGAGACAGAAAGCCAAACATATAAATAAGATTGAAAACCAAAAAAAAAAAAAAAAAAAAACTATATAAATAATATTAGAGACAGAAGCCAAACATAAAAAAAAAAAAAAAAAAAAAACTAAACGCACTTCAAGTTATCAGATATTCAAAGCTGGAAAGCCAATTAAGAATAACTCCAGCGGAATTATAGATTGTGGCTTATCTAATTGCCAAATTAGAAAAATGAACAATTAAACAATAATATCTTTTTCAATGTTACTGTTTATTCAATTTGTTAAGCTAATGTGTAAAAAAAAAAAACATTATTAAGCACACTCTGTATTTTCAGAGGGTTTATTAGACAGTATGACTCATCTATTTAATTAGATATAATTTTAAAAAAACAATAAACATCATCATAAAATCCTATTCTAATTAAGATGCATTAGAGAGTCAATTTTCAAATTCAATATCTACAAATAGACTTATACACACGTCAATGTCAACATTTTATATTTAATATGTCATATAAGCCACATAGTCGTGTTAGCGTTGCTTTAAAGATTTCACATTTCAAATCCTACTCTTTTTTTATTGTAATAAATAATATTTCTTTTATTATTTAGTCTGAATTGCAAACACGTTTCAAGTTAGAATTTCAAATTAAATCAAATACCAAATATATAAAGATATAATCATACATAAGAGTGTAAAGTCAACTGACTAAACATGTTTCGATTTGGACCTCTATCAAAAATTAAAAAATATATTTGATCCATATTAAAACTGTAAAATTGATTCTTTTCCTAATTTTATATATTATTTTCAAAAATATTCTTATTTATATCTTGCTCTAAAATGTTTTAAAATTTGATTTTTTCCTAAAATGTCTATAAGGCCCCCAATGTTCCTTTTAATTATTTTTTTATTTTTGCTCTCCATTACTTAAATACCCATATGAGATCCAACAGAACACAAGAGTGGGTCCCAATGTACATGGATTATTTATTTATTTCAGTGTCAAAATGAAATTGTGACTTTGGTTACATGTTGATTCAGTTACACCAGATGCTGATATGGCAAGAAAACCAGCTATAAAATGGTGAGAGAAGAGCAGAGCAGTTCTGTATTAAACAGAATTTTCAACCTTCAACTCAATATTCATGGCTTCCACAATAGAACAATCTCAATCTCCTTATGGTTCTGGACGACGAGACCAACATCAACATCCTCAACCAGACTTCAATCTCAGAGAATGGGCTTTAAGAGCTCAAATCAGTCGTGAAAACACCAAATCAAGAAGATTCTCTGGTTCACATATCAGAACCAGTTTTAGAGAAGATGCAAGATCTTTTAGATCAAACATTACTATCTCTAGTACTCCCTCTTCTCCTGGCTACCCCTTTAACGGTACTCTCTTGTTATTATTACACTTAATTAAAATTTGTCTCCTATTTTACTTTGGCTCAACTGTAACTCTCTAATTATATATATTTTTTTAGAAGAAATTGACCCATCAACTTACTCCTTCACTACTGCTCTCAAAGGTGAGTCCCTTTTTTTTAATAATTACTTATTTTATTCGATTTCTTATTATTTTAAAGGTCAAATTTTCGTATAAAATGATGTGGGTTTTTTTTGAAGTTTTTGGCTTTTGCTATATCTTTACATGTGCAGCATTGCAAGCAAGAGCAGGGTATAATAGCTGGGAATGTTTATCACCAGATGGCTTTGCATTAAATTCAAAATGGAATGAAGCAGAGAAGTATATATGTAATCCACTCTCAGGAGAAGTTCCAAGGGAATGTTTATCCGCTAAAACACTTAGTGGAAGATCATTTAGAAATCCAACAAACAGAATTACAATGTCTGCTCCTCTTATGTACTCTACCCATTTGAAGAAAGTCCAGACAAAGCCTTCCCATAATGTAACACCAGATCATGATAGTTTTCATTTTCCAATCCAAGGTTCCTCTTTATTTATTTATTTATTTATTTTGTTTTTATTTGAAGTTGTAATTGGTACTTGGTTAAAGTTATAATTGTTGAAAGATTAATGTAATTTTGCCTGTGTAGAAAAGAAAATGGAGGGTTCGACTAGAGATGTTGGGACTCAAAGTACACCGTTTGACCTTAGTTCAAGTAGCCCTAGCCCTGCATCAACTCCTCCAATTATGGAGAGATTAACCTTGAAAAGATGTGAAGAAGAAGGTGGAGATTCTCCTAATTGTAATGGAAAGTTGGGAGCCGAAGGAAAGGTACTAGACTATTGCCTTTTAGCACTTCCATGAGTTATAGTCATGGATGCAAATTAAGGGCAAATTAAACTTTAGTTATGCTGCTTTTAACGAAGCTATAATGTAATGTAATCAAAGGCATTTTTCTAGTATAAATTTACAGTAGAAATGCCTTTTGATTACATTACATTATATTCTATTACAGCTTACAAAATATAGACGTTTTAATTAATATAAAAAATATAAAGTGATAAACTTGAATAATCTCTTAATTGGCCTAAATAGACATAGAAATAGTGAGTTCTATACCCACAAAAGATGGATCACACACACATATATATATGTAAGAGAGACTGCATTTATACCAGGTTTACTATATAATCTCTCTCTCCTTTCTGGAGAGGTTTTTGTTTTCTATTAGGCTTTTTACTGTGGTGTAGATGTTCCTCTAAGAAGCAACTAAACTCGAAAATTTATGTTGTAAATCACATTAAAGATGTTAATTAGTTAGGACCACATGCATTAGGTTCATGGTTATAGAATTCAATACCCTTTGCTCCCTTCTTTCTTTCCTTCTGCTAAGCTGGGGATACATAATATTGATAGATGCATTCATATTTTCCTTGTACTTGCATAAGGATGTCGTGAAGAACCTACTGGAGTTCAAAATATTGCCAGCTTCTTCTTTTCATTTTTGTTTTTGATAAAGCTGCTTGAATCTTGTCTTGATGCATTTATGTCTTGCCCATATCTATCTCTTGGCAATTGGTCAAGGTTGGATAAATAAGATTGCCTGGTAGATGTCCTTTATAGTTATACATGCAGTTTCCTTCCAAGGTGGGAGACTATAAAAGAGTAGATTGGTCCCAGTAGGCCAGAAGCAATGGTGGGTACATTTATGACCCAAATGCATATATATATATATATTCCAAAATAAGCATAAGATGTTTCTTTGGCATAATTTGTCCTTACAAATAATAATTAATCTGTGCCCTATCAATGTGGGGGACTATAATCGAGAATAATTGGTCCCTCTAACAAAATGATGGGTACATGTGACCCCAAGTGTACATCCAAGGATTCCTTTGCATGTTATTATCTCCCTCCAAGTAGCCTCCTTTTTGAGTAAAAACAGTCATTTGTATTATGTTTTTTTTTTTCAGAAACATTTTTCTGACAGCAAATGCTTTCTTTTTTTTCTCCTCTTTCTTTCTTTTTTTTTTTTTTTTTTTTTTCATGGTTATTATCTTCCTCCCAAGTAGCTCCTGTTTGTAGTAAAAAAAATACAGTCATTTGCGTGGTATTTTATGTTTTTTTGTCTTCCAAGAAACAGTTTTTCTAGGACAGCAAATGCTTTCTTTTTTTTTGCTCTCTTTTTCTTTCTTTTTTTTGTTTTTTTTTTTTTACAGGAAACTTATAGTAAAATCATTTATAACAATGGTCCAGAGGGATTTAACAAAATTCCTCCTCCGTTTTTATTCTCTAGATTTTCTTGATATGTTCATCTAATGTTTTTATTATTTTTATATTTTTCTTTACGGTTTTTTCTCTCTTGTTTCTAACAGTTGGATGACATATGCAAGTTATGAGTCATTTTCTCTCTTCTATGGTTTACTGCTTTCTTTTCTAAGTAGCTTTTTTCGTTCCTGGGTATGTGCATTTCCTCTTGGATGCTGATTTCCCAATTGAAACTGCAAATCGGTCTACTTTTTTTTTTTTTTTTTTTTTTTTTCAGAAACTTAAAGTAAAATCATATACAAGGTCCACTGGGGATTTAAACCAAAATTCCCTCCTTTTATTCTTTTTCTTGATTGTTCATCTATGTTTTATTATTTTTAATTCTGTTCTTTAGTTTTCTCCTCTTTGTTCTACATGGTGCATACTGAAGATGAGTCAATTTCTCTCCTCTTTTTACTGCTTTCTTTTTAACTTTTTTTTTTCTTTTGATTCTTTGGGTTTCTCAATGAAAACTGCAACTCACTGCCTGTTTTCAGTTTCTTTCTTCTTTTTGGAAAAAATTTCATGTGTTTCAGGGATAGTAACAAAATAATGGTATCAGTGCACTTGCCATTCACAACCTTATATTAAGGAAAATTTGACAACTCTATTATTTGATCTTGGAAATCTTAAGGCACTCATTGTTATTGGGATAGATGAAATTACTTTTCAGGCACTTGAAGGTTTGGAGTTTGGACCACTTTAACCTCATAGGAATTAGAAATAGTACAAAATGATAGTTCCACAAATTAGAAGCATTGTACTTAAGGAGAGTTCTTATTGTACTAAATGATAGTTCCACAAATATGTAGTAGTTGTTTATTATTTTTAATATCAAAGTAATGTTAAATTAATATTATCAAATGTAATACTTGTTATTGGTACATGTTTTTGCAGTCAAACAATGTTGGATAGCCAAAACACAGAAAAAAAAGCTATTTATAGAAAGAAAAATTTCAATGAAGTGACTGAACATTTATTTCCCAGTTGGGGAAAAATAATAAGATATGTAAACGATTCAGAGAAGCACAATAGAATGAATATAATGTGAGAATGACAATGATGTGAATGGCAGGTGATTGAAGAGGAAGAAACAATAAGATCATCACCATCAAGAAAAGAAGAAGCAACAAAAGGAGAAAAAGAAAAAGAGGAAAGTAAGAAAAAGGAAAATGAGCAAATGTGGAGGTGCAGTAACAGTAGCAGCAATAGTATGCAAGGTGGTTGCTTATCATGGATGAGAAAAAGGCAGAGAGAGAAACATAAACCAAGAAATAAGAGGAATATCTGTCTTCTCAATCCTAAAGGATGTTAAAAACTCAATTACTTTATATTTTTTCAAAAAGATAAGGTTATGAGAAAGAGAGCTAGAGATGGTAACAGAACATTTGGAGGGTTTTCAAGATTCTTTCTCTTTCATAAAACAGAGAGAGAGAGAGAGAGGAGGGGGAAAAAATCATTTGATGACAGAGGTGGAAGATGGTAACATATGGTGGTGGTTTTATGTGTTCTATTTCTTGCTTTTTTTCTTATAATAAACAAGTGATGTTATGTATTGTTCCTTTGTCTCCTATGGTGGAAAATGGCTGACAGCTTTGAGTTCACGTGGTGTCTTTGATTGTGGCCTTACCCTTAGAGGATTTTGATGCTTCATTTCTCTTGCGCTCTGAAGTCTGTATCCATCAGCAAACGTACAAATTAAAAACTGGCAGCCACTCCAACTATTTAATCCCTAACTCTACAGGAAAATTTCACCCAACCATCTATTAGTTGAAGCATAATTTTTAATAATAAAATTTTTTACTTTTAATAGTAGGACTGTTCAATAGACCCAAACGTCCTGATATGCCATTTCATTAAAATTTTAGCACGTATATCTAAATTTTTTCGTTTAAATATTCGTTTAAATATTCATTTAATTATCTGTGTCTGAATCTATTTAAAATTTTATTACTCGTATTATAAATCATTAAGATATCCTAAATTTTAAATTATGCATACTTAAAATTATTTAAAATACAATTTTTCACACATGACCAAATATTTTAGGTATCACGCATTTGAAATTCTGAGACAATGAAAAGGAGATGGTTGGAGGTCATTTATTGCATGTCTTGGATCTTTTAGCAACTAAAACAAAAACGATTTGTCGTCAGAGAAAACAGGAGATATTTGTTGAGGCTTGAGGTTGGGCATTCTTCAATCCTTACTCATCGAACTTCATTCATATATGAAAAATGCTACGGATAGCAATTGCAGTCTTTTATCATATGTTTTATTTTATTTTTATTTTTATTTTTTTTTTTATTTTTTTTTTTGAAAGCATCATATGTTTTGAACGAGCTACAAAAGCAGTGGTAGAAAAATTCAAAAATATGATAATAAATGTAAATTTATTGAATAAACAGTTTTATCTTGTTTAATTATTCCATAAATTTTCGATAGACACAATTTTTACAAGTAGAAGCTTACATCAATGGGTCAAGTTAAAAATTAAATACATTATTAGATTTTTTTTTTTTTAAATTTCAAATATTTATAATAGCATAATAATAGCATTTAAAAACCGAAGAAGTGTTTCACGAAACTTTAATTTCTCCTGATATTTAAATTTGACAAGAATTAATTAAAATTTTTAGATTATTTTACATTTAATAACAACCAATACAACAACTATTTTTACAGTAACATTTTAGTTTTAGACAACAGCTAATAAAATAACTTACAGGTACTACAATATCTAAAGCCATTGCATGATTTAATATCAGCTGAATTCCATAATAACCTCACTTAAAAATGTACACGTATATTTGCTATATATGCAGTACTTCATTGCCTTGCAGTTGATTTATGTAGCCCTTGTCATCACTGTCGATTATTTCATTTATAAATTTTCCTGTTGCCTTTTTATATGTTTTCGGTTCTCCAAAAATTTTACAAATTTGCAAAAATAAAAGACGAACTAAATCTACAACGTCAGAATATATATAATATTAACAAGGAGGCTATGCTGATGAATTAAAACTGTAGTAAACAGATTATACCATCAATCACTTTGCGAAGGTGATGCGGTGGCATTTAAGCTGGAAATAAGTCGCACTTCATAGAGATCATTTTCCCCCTTCCCTGCAAACGGTAATTAGACAAATTTCATTATATCTCTATAAGCAATTCTAAAACTCTCTCTCTCTCTCTCTCTCTCTCTCTTATATATATATATATATCAAATGAAATGTGAAACTCACCAACTTCAGCTGTGACATTTGGTCCAAAGAATGAAGCAAATTTTGCCTGAAAATCATTTCTTCATCAGCTTAAGTATGAAATGCAATTTTCATTTAATTGTCATACTACCCAACCAAGAACTTCGAACAAGCTCTACATAATTATAAAATCTCACATATAACGAACTTATGAAAGTGCAATTGTACCTGTCTTTTTTCAAAATCTGAAAACTGTAAGGCCTTTGCCTCAAAGACCAGGACCAGGCAGTATTTACCATCCCCTGTTACCTGAGAGATGACAATTGCACCAATGGAATAATGCAGTTATGGACACTAAGTCATGAAGAATCTCATCCAGTAAAGTATTTTAGGAAGCAGGTTCCATTTACATGGTTCCAAGACTTAGAATCAGTAATTCAATGAAGGAGAGAAAAATTCAAGTCCCAGGTTAATAATTTCATATAATTAACAGGAGAGGCTTAAACTAAGATTGTTAGCCTTATTTGTTGTAAACTAGAAGTCTTGAACATAAATGCATTCAGTAATGACCAATATGCCAAAGAACCAGCACTCCGTCATTTGGATAGTTCTAGGAGGGTAGGTTAATCAGCATATATTTTTTATGAATGCATATTAATGAAACATACCTCTTCACGAATCATCTGTAGAATAGGTGCACTCCTCCGTGGAATTCCTCCACCCTGAAATCAATGCAGCAGAACACGAGAACAAAGTTAAATTATGAGTATAACATAAATTATATTCCATCTACTACATACAAACAAATAAATAAAATATTGTGTAAGGATTGGACATAATTTCATTTCATTCATCTATACATGAAATATTGTGTAAGGATGGACCCGAATTCTCTTGATTCAGATGCATGGAAGCATGGACATATACTTTATCTATTTATTTATTTTATTTAACATGCTCTCCTTAGTAGATAAGTAGATAAACAAACGAGAATGCTGAGAGGGGAAACGAAATTAGTATAAAACAGTTATGTGGCATACCTGACCATACTGGAAAATCCGTTTCAATGCCTCATCCAAATGCTGCTCATCTCCATACCGGTATCTAATAACATCACTCCTGACCTAATTAAAGCCAAAGAAAGTCAGTCCTTTTAAAAAAGTTGATTAGTATAGAGCACGCGCCATGCCATATATATGATATATTCTTTCTTTAATCATACTACCATCGTCACTAAGATTTCCACAGCAGATTTACCATTACCACTACCATCACAGCACACCAATTGCACCACAACCACCACTAAGATAGCCACACCACTCCTATCACTGACAGGAATACCATCACTGCATATGCTACCACAACTATATCATTAATGTAAAACTACCATCAACAGTGCACACTGCCATCAACACCATTACCACTGGCACCACACCACCATTATTATCACTTCAGTAATTTCATCTGCTTTACCACCATAGCTGCCACACTGTATTTAAATGCATAATTATGGCCATTAACCGCTTACAGATCTCTAAATCTACTATACGAATTTCATTTTCATTTTCTTAGTCCTTTATCAACCTCAGATGAGAAAAAATGGAAAATAGGAGATAAAAATATAAAATGATTTCTAATTTTTCTAGTCGAAAATGAAAACTGAAAATCTAATTCAAAAATAGAATTTTTTCTTTTTTTTTTTTTTTTTAGATTGCTTCGTCGTTTAGTAGATAAGTTAGATAAAACAAACTGTATGAATGTTGAGTAGTTTGGAAACGAAATAGTTAGTAAAACAGTTAGTGTTGGCATTTTACGTTACTGACCCTTCTGCGATATAATCCGTTTTTCAATGACTCATCGCATTATGCTGCTCATCTCCATGTACCCGGTATTCTAAAGTAAATCATCTCCTGACCTATATTAAAGCCATAAGAAGTCCAGTCCTTATTAAAATAAAAGGCTTGAATTAGATAGTAATAAGAGACAGACGCGACTGATACATGTGCCAATATACTATATTATGTTTTCTATTTAATCATACTAACCATCGTCTCACCTTGAGATTTCACAGTCAGATTTGACCATTACAACTACCATCACTGCACACCATTGCACACAACCACCGACTTGAAGTAGCCACCAACCACTCCTATCTTTTATTTGACAGGGAATACATCCACTGCATAATGCTATCAAAACTATGTGATACATTAATGTAAAACTACATAAACAGTGCACGACTGCCCATCAACATCCAATTACCACCTGGCATCCACACCACCATTATTATCACTCAGATAATTTCTATGCTGCTTTTACCACCATATGCTGCCACCGATTATTTAATGTATTAATGTGCCCATTAAGGCTTTATTTGTATCTCTAATCCTACTATGATCTAATTTCATTTTCATCTCTCTCTTAAGTCCTTTATCAACTCAGATTGGAAGAAAAAAATTTGTCCGAGAAATGTAATGGAGAGTTCGATAAAATATATTTAAAATGATTTCTTAATTTTTCTAGTCGAAAAATAAATACTGAAATTTCTAATTCAAAATGGTAGAATTTTTTCTTTTTTTTTTTTTTTTTAATCTGGCAAAACTTAAGGCCTCTAAATATGTTTCTCTTTTTTTTTTTTTTTTTTTTAATCTGCAAAACTAAGGCCTTAAAATGTTTCTCTACTTCAGTATCTCTCTATTCATCTGATACTTTCAACTTGGTTCAGCACCAATCTAAGTTTACAAAATTACTTTAGACTTGGTTCAACACTGAACCAAGTTTTCAAAATCTTGAACTAAAATCAGTAAAGGAAAAATTGAAATCTTCTGACTCAAAATCACCCAAGAAAAGCCAGATGATAAATATACCTGTTTAAGGATTGGAGTGGCACTTGTTTCTCTTAAAATTTCAGCATCAGAATAAGTTAAACACGGAACTGGCTTCAGTTCTGCATACTGCAACTCAGTGAAAGGGAAAGTAACATCATTTCACTGCCAGTTTCATTAAGTTAATGCAGTTAATGATCTATTTCGCTCATTTTAGGTATTGTTTTAAAAGCCAGGTTAGTAAGGAAATCTAGAAGAGCCATATCAAAGCAGGAACAATGAGATGTAACAAATTAAAGAAAAATTGGTGGGCATTCCATTTCATACTTTCCAACTTAGACATCTTAAATTTTCATGCAACATCTCATATGTATATATTGGTTTTTCTGAAACAAAGAAGAAAGAATCCATAGCCCATTAATATGGACTTGGACTATGAGAAAACTTAATCCAAAGATTAGGCCGCAAGTGCATGGACAAAAGTACAACTAGTTTCCCTTGTCAACGCACATAATTTAATATATGATTCCCAGATTATATTCAAACTAGAAAAGGCAAATACTTAAAAAAGCAAAAATCATATGATATGTTTGTCGAGTAATAGTCATAAAGTCTCACAAAATAGAAAAACTTTACCTTGAGAGCCATACCAATAATTGCAAGAGGGAAGCCATATGTTAGCATTATAGCCGACCATTCAGATCCAGGGAGGATATTAAAGTATGCCCCAAAACCATACCTGCATATCATGCGCAATCAGCCTCCATTTTAAGGATACAGGGGTAAACATCTAAAGGTAAAAGAACTCACGAGAGGAGTGAAATTCCAACACCCAGTCCAATGACACCGAATGATACCTGAAAACATTGCACAACCCCATAAGGTTGAATTGGATTGGAAGAACTTGAAATGAGGATTTGAACTTCATATTTTAGCTTAAATTTCTTGAGTAAATTCGTTTCAGGTCAATGGATCTTCTCAAATGGATGATCGCCTATATGGATAATACACATTCCAGTTGACCGGGCCTAATTCTAATTGTTTTGTTCCGAAGCAAAGATATCCACAGGGCGGTTTGTCCTATTCAGATATTCACGACCACGAAGTACTAGATTCTCTTTTGGATAGGCCCTGAAAGGCGAAGGAAGGCTGGAATGCCAACAAATGTCTATTATTGAATTCACCCGACCGTTTAAAATCCAGCAACTTGATAGATTCATAAGCAGATATTAGGTTGTTGTACTGTAAATAGAACATGATGTACAAAAAATAGAAATTAAAATATTGATTTATTTCGTAGGAGAAATGTTAGGGATGCACTCATTGGCAAAAGATATGCAAGGCGAGGTCAACAGGACATAGATGGCAACAACAATTAATTATATTTTATAGCTGTTATAAATTAAGATATTATTCTAAATTTGTAATTGTAATGTTATGAATTAAGGCCTTAAGTAGAGGCCGCAATTAAGGAATTATTTTAACTATATAATCATGTAATCACTTTGTAAGGAGAATACGTTTATGAATAAAACAAGCAGAATTTCATTACAATTAACATGAGGTCACAGCTCCCTAACAAGTTTTCTTTACAATCCTATTTTTCTTCAAATCATCATAGATCGTTTGAGGAAAGGCCGAAACACCAACTTCAGAAATGCAGAAAGCTTTGAAGAAGACTATCCAGTTCAGAGATCCGTGTCACGATCCTACTTCAAAACCCATAACAACTTGGTACCAAGCCAACCACCGCTTCTCCTAGTTGCAATCAAGCGGCGTAGGTGGTGACGCCGAAATTGCAATGTTCACCAGGGGCTAGTTGGTGAAGCAGATATCACAGTGTTCGCCCAGGATTAGAGAAAAAACCTAGCGCTTAGCCACCCTAGCAACACAAAGCCAACCCGACATGAGTGCCAGGACTAATGGGTGTGGTAGGATGCTAAGATCCTCATTGCGAGACAAGGTATGGGACTTGTCTTGGATCCCATTTTGGAAGTATGGGATTCAATGCAGGGTTTATATGAACTTGGGCTCTCCAACCTCAATGGGTAGCTTTTGAGGTATGGTTCTCCCAAGATCACGACAGGAAAGAATATAGGGCTACTCATAACCACTAATGGGATGAATATGAGGATGTTATTTGTGAATACATGATTAGCCTTCACTTTCCAATTGCTCGAAGCACTTGACAAGTGATCTATTAGGCACTCTGTAATAGGTTGGCCAAATAAGGCAAAACTCCTGGCTACCTCTACACAACTAACCCCCTTATCACCTAATAAGCGGTTATTTAGGGCCCTTACTAGTGATCCAGTACTATGCAGTAAATACATATTTGAACTAGAAAGCTAAATTAGAAATTCACTATCCACATGTAACCTAATTTCAATTCACAGGCAGGTAACAACTGAGAACAATTTAAATTTTCCAGTATTTTCTTCTTCAATCTTAATATAGACGACAATAACGATGACTCTACATGTTCAAAAAAAAAAAAAAAAAAAAAGTCAAAAAAAAAAAAAAAAAAAAAACAATAGTTGGTGAAGATAGAAACTAAAATTCCGAAATTCGAGCAAAAATGTTGCGATGAAACGGCAGAAAATTAGAAATTTCACAGGAATTGCATTTGGTACAAAAACAACAAAATTTGAGAAAATGAAATGAACCTTAGCGAGAGAGAATTCATCATCAGTAACAATAGTTTTGTCAGGAGACGGAGACGAGGCAGTAGAAGGCTGAGTTGAGTCTGCAGCTCTCGCGACGAACAGTACCTTCAGATTCTGCTCTCTTTTGGCGCTCAATCTAGGTAGTCGCGGCGGCGGTGGCGGCGATGAATAAGGACATACAGAGCGAAAGAACCGCTCATTACGGGAGCAGAGAATGGTTGCTCTTGCTAGTAATTGCGGTTGTGATGATATTATTGCTTTCATAGTTGATTATTAAGCTCCAACGAACACAAACAGCACAGCTCTGTTTCTCTTTGTTCTTCTGTGTCTGTGTGTAATATCTTTGAGAGGGAAGAATGAGAGGTTACAGTTTGATGACATGGAAGCAAAGCCTCAACCGCCAAAACTATGATCACGTGGCACACTTCTTTCTCTCTATCATTTCCTTTTTTTTTTTTCTTTTTTTTTTTGTTTTTCTTTTTTTTTGTTTTCTATTTATCGTTCCTTTGTTTTCTTGAGTTGAACCGCTCATTTTGGGTTTAATTTTAAAAAAAAAATGATTATTTCCTTTTTTTTTTTTCTTTTTTTTTTTGTTTTGCTATTTATCGTTTTCCTTTGTTTTCTTTGAGTTGAACCGCTCATTTGGTTTAATTTTTAAAAAAATGATTTAATTTCATCCTTAATGAAAAAAGTTTAAACTTTTTCGATTAAATTTAAAATTTTTATTATATAAAAAATCCCTTAAAACTATATTAATATAACTGAGAAATTGAATCAAAATCAAATTCAACCGAATCAATTCCATTGGATTTTATAAAGAGTTGAATTCAATTTCATTGCTTGCCTAATTACTAAACTCAATGTAATAAAACTTTGAGATATATACTTTTCTATTAGTGGATGAACAACAAATTAATACTCTCTTCTAAATTTATTTACGTAATTTAACAAAACATACATATTAAAAATTCAGTCAATAAAAATCATTGTATCTATTTGACCCTCAAATTATTAAGATATTAATAAAAATCCTTTACTTAATAAACAATCATAAATATTATTACCAAAGTATATAAAATTTAGAGATCTTATGAACATTTTAAAACATTCAAAAAAAAAGAATAAGCAAATAAATAGCAATGGAAGAAGTAATTCGTTACCCTTGATAAGAGGAATTAAATATAAAAGGAAAAAAGCTCTCTAATTAGTTATATTGGCTGTACAACATTGATCAGAATATGTGAATATAATGAGCTTATCAAAAGAGGGAAACCTTGTATCTAAATTGTTTCCTCTAATGATGTTGTACATTTATACAAGGGTTATGACCTTTACAGGGAGGCTCAAGCACAACAATGTAAATAGGTGCTCCATAAAGGTGAAAATTCACCATTTTTGAAGCACACAACAAAATGAATATCTGCAAAATGTCAATTACTTGATAATGGAAATTTTGTATGAGACCAAGTTGCATGATGCCATTGTCAACCATTTAGTAACAAAAAATCTCAGAATTTTCTCCTTGATCTGTTTATACATAGAAGCAAGACAAAGTTAGAGCCAATTTTAAGTTCACATAAAATTTAACATAAATACATATAAGCAGTTCAGCTAAGCCAAGTATATCAAGCTCAAACTCAGTGCGAACTCAGTTTTTTGAGCTTTAAAAACTAAGCTCCAGCTCGGCTTATTTACAATTTATAGTTAAAAACTATTTGTCTGTTTCCAAGTTTAAACCTGAGCTTAAATTTGGCTCATTTATTAAACAAACTCAATAAGTAAACTCGAGTTCGGCTCTCATGTTTATCAAACGAACTTTTTTCAAGTCAAGTTTTGAACAGCTTGGTTCGTTTACATACAGTAAGAGTCATAACTCAAACCCAAACAATTTTCTCTCTTTAAATATTTATTTGTCACAAAGATATACATGCAGTCTACACAAAGGATAGAATAGCAAACATGACAGTCCGTTTGGATAGATAGTTATGTGAAATGAATGTGAATTTGAATTTGGTTTAAATTTAAAAATGTACATGATGCCAAATTGCACATGCTTAATCATTTCCAATGAATAACTAACCAAATAAGACCTATATTTTGTTAATATTGTGATATTATCATTACATCGATCAAATACAAAATATAAACAATCTGTTTGCTTATATTCTGTCACCAATTCTTTCAACGAAAGCTTAAATATCTTACCTAAATTGCACAGACAAAGATGGTAAATTATCAACAAAATAACCCTATGAGTTTTTTTCCTGCAGCGTGCTATCTGTAACTTTTTGAATCCTAAGCCTTTTTGTCCTGAAATCATTAGATTAAAATGGTTATTCATGTCAAAGAGAAAAGCAGGAAATCTACAAATTAAATACTTCTCAATTTTTATTTCACAATTTACTAACCTATTATCTATCTATGGTAAAATAATTAAAGAAGCTCACAAATGACATCACAACAGGCATTTCAGAAGTTGAGCCTGCATTCCCTAGAGTTACTCTATGATTCTTTTATTGTTTTTGATACATGAATCACCAGAGGGAAAAAGATCAAGCAAACCATGAAACCTCATGATAAAATTTGGTGATTGGTTTTAATTAGAACAACTTTGTCTCAATTCCCCTTATTGTAGGATAAATTGCAAAGGTTACAGACCAGAGGTAAAAGTTTATATTTCGTTGAGTGTTCTTTTATCTGTATCTATTGGAATCATGCAATAACAATTGCACTGATACGGAAGCCGTAAAATTCAATGTAGAGGCATCCTACACTGAAATTAAATTTTCAAAGCTGCCTGACCACAAAATTTATTGTTTCCTATAATTTTTTGTATCCCTGATGAGTTCTACTTATTTAATAATACTGAACACAAACATCTCAAAAAAATTCCATATAAAGCATTATATGCTTTAAGAACATCAGTAAAATGCACTGACCTTAAGGAGGAGATGTATTTCTCAATTCCTTGTTTCTGTTCAGCATCATAGACAAACCATTTGTCCTCAGGTACAATTGAAGTCCAGCTCCCCATATCTATATAAGAAAAATTAATCATCGGATCTAATATTGTATGTTAGATCTGCACAAATTGGAATAAGCAAAGCAACTTATACCTTGAAGCAAGATATCTGGTTTATCATTGTAGCCTTTTAGTCTCCAAAAAGCATGACCATTTTCATCTAAAAGGAGAGGATCTGTTCTAACAGCATCAGATCTTTGTCTCTCTGATATCATGCAAAGGCAGGTTAGATTTACATTTAAACTCTTAAAGTATAGACGCATCTAAATTTTCATGTTAGTGGAGAAAAAGGAAAAAACTGCATGGCTATACAGAAACCTGCCAGCAAGTAATCAGGTTTCTCAGGAGAAGATGCTTTAATCTTGTATAGTTGATTTCCAGTTCAATTCCCTTCAAAATTTAAAGGAAGGCCTCTACCTCCTTGACAAGTCAGAAAGTTGTCATATACTAATAATAGTTTTCAAATTCAATTTTGCCATCCAATTGAGTTCAGCCATAAATTCAAATAGAGACACATCACTTTGATAAATTGTTGGTTTGCTTTAATAGCAACATTTTAAGTAGCTTATGTGTTATAGAAACTACGCAAGGAATGTCCAATATGCCAAAAGAAAAAATAACTTCTCAAGCTCACTAAATTTAGAAAACTAAGTTCAAATATTTTATGTGAGATAACTTGAAAAATAGGATGCCTTACTCTTGGGTACCGTTCCCATAGCCTCCAACATTTCTTTATGAGCTTGAGCAGCTTCTCTTTTAATTTGAGAAACTATTGCTTCATGCTCAGAAACTGAGAATTGAGCACCATTTTTGGCCATGATGGCTTTAGCAACCTCATCCTGCACCTTCTGTTTCAATTGTTTCTCCTGTACCAAAATCCAAGAGGAAGAGAGCGGGAATCCATTTCACAAACAAAAGCCAATTCAAGAACATCACTTGAAACCAAAATATGCATTTAGAATCACTTGACACCTTATCCTTTGCAGCAAGAACTTTTTCTTTTGCTTCCTTCCCTCTTTCAACAAATTTAGAATTTTGATCATCAATCCAACTCCGCAAATCTCTAGAAGACAACAAAAACAAAGATTGATCAAAACATTTTTTTTTCTGATTACGGATTAATCAAATGGGCAAAAGAACCTTGATTCTTCTAAAGATTTCCAAATTTTTGCTTACCCAGTATTAAGAGCTTCATCACATAGAAAATTCAAGAGTTTAAACTTTTGTGAGGCACTCAACATATCGTATCCTTCATTACCCTTATCAAAACAATCAGAGGGGAATTCTGTTGATATGAATCTGCACTTACAGAAAAATTTCCCAAGTGCTTTCAACCAGGAATTTTTGCCATTTGCTGAACTTAGGGCTTCAGACCTGAACAACAAAACCACATTTCATCATTATTCCACAACCACAAAAGCCAAAGCAGTTGACAGCAAATTTACTATGTATGAAATTAATACTCTTCTCCAATATCCTCTTGTATCAAAGACAATAATTTGATGTGAAACTGCGCTAATAGCGAGCCTTGTGACCGGCGCCCTCTTCGGCCAAATATTATTTCTCTAATCACAGCTTCAGTCTGCCCTTTCTTGACATCAAGAACCTAATGACATGAAAAATAAACAAAAATTAATAAAATATGATACACAATGGTTTCATTATCTCCCTAGAGCTAGAGCAAGGTTTCTCTTAAATGCACAATTGAGAAAACAATTTAGGATGAGTTTAAATAACAAATGGATGTCTGGAAAAGTTAATAATCAATTTTTCATTTTTCAATGAATTTATGAATTCATAATTTGGGAAAATTTATGCTCCTGCTGGATTTATCTTTTGATTAAAAAAAAAAAGTTAATGATAATTATTGTGTTATGATTAGGTAGTTGGATGGAAATAATAATTTACGGCACTTTGTATTCTAGAAAAAATGACATTTCAATTTTTTTTCCAATCATTGAATCTATTATTGGTATAAAACATCTTATAGATTTTACTGAGAGATGGATATTATAATTCTCAAAGAAAAAAGATATGAATATATAACAATTTACAACTATTTAGTCTAACCATCCGAAAAGAGTCATGACATACTGAGCAATAAAAAAACATGCAGAATACCATATTTAATTAATTGCATTTGATGATACCTCGCCAAAAGCAGCACAAAACTCGAAGAATTGCAATGCATGTCCAGCAGCTTCATGAGGTAACTCAATCCCCGCTACAGTAGTTAAGGAGGTGGCTGGAGGCAATGATATGCTATCATCAATTTGTTTTTTCTGAGGCTCTAAAATATCCTTGTTAATTTTGCATGACTCTGAAGCCGTCTTGTTCTTGATTTTGGGATCAACATTTTTAACATCATTTGAAACTCCATGTTTGCAATCGGTGTCATTCCTCTCTTCATTTGTTGTACAACAAACAGCAACCTCCTTTGGCGTTTGTTTCTTAGACTTCTTTTGCTCCGCAAGATTACCTACAGCTTTTCCATTCATTGATATTTCTTTCTTTGGAACATCTCGAGGCTGGGCCTCATACCTACTTTTCTCTACCAAAACAAATTCATCCTCTTCGTTCGTCTTTTCTTTGTTCTTAGAAACTTCATCAAAATGTCTAGGTTTCTTCTGACCACTTCCCACTAAGTTAGCGTCATCACCCCCATTGCTCTTATTAACTTCCTGTAATTTTTTATTTTTCCTAGATTTATTCCTGTTAGATACTGGTGTTAAATTTTGAGAATGCACACTCAGATCATTGTTTCCTTCAAAAGAATTTTCTTTCCCATGTTTCCTAGGTGAAGCAATTGTAGGATCCTGTCAAAAGCATCATAAACATATCACTTAACACAAATCAGTGAATTCATCAACCATGTACTAACAACATAAGACAACTACCAAAATAAACAGTCAGACCTTAGTAGAAGCAGGTTTCACCAATGAAACATCTGCATCTTTGGCAATCCTATCAATACCAAAATTCTCAGGACCTTTAATCTGCAGCAGTTCTGAGACCGAGGAAAACCCATTTTCCTTGGCTGTCCGAACAAGTATACCAGTAGGTTTATGACCACTTTTCTTCCTGGAAACAGAATTATAGCATTAGACTCACCCCAAGGACAAGCAGCGCCGAACATCAAAATATCATGTAATGCACTTACCTACAAAAGCTGCAATTACAAATGCCCCTACACTTCGGACATTTCCAGTCATCAAGTAGTGCCACCTCTTCCGCTTTCTCTCCATACCTAATAGCATTACAAACCAACATATTACATAATATATTAACCAAAATCTTGTACGTAATGATCCAATAACTTTAATTTAGGTAGCAAATTTAACCTGTTCACTAGGCATTTATGGCAATAGTTAATAGAACATTGCTTGTTTCCTTTCTGATTCTTGCACCCGGCAGTAAAATCCCTTGTTTTTTGCCGGCACTTCAACAATTAACATAAATGAATAAGAATATAAACAGTGAAAAGCCTAAAGAAGGAAGAATATCAATTACAATGACGTATAGAGGAAGACAAAATCCAAAACTCGTTAGAAGTTTATAATCTCTGGCACAGTATCTAAACCCCAGTACCAAGAGACGTAACAAGTCAACCTATATAGTCATCATGTTAAACACAATAACATCATTAAATGAAACTCATGCCTAAACTTAATAATTTCCTATAAGATAACCAAAATTAATGCACTAAACACTATAAAATTGGGTCCCAAGTACAATTTTTCTTTCATTTGCCCTTATTTTCTCATCAACTAAATCGAACTAAGAATATTTCCAAAGAGATTAATTATTTCCAATAAAATGACCAAATCTGTGAAATACGGACAAATCTGTAAGAAATTGTGCTTTCTTTCATCCTCCCACTTTATTTTGAATCAAAAAAATAGGAGTTCAAAAAAAAAATGCACCATTAGAAAGTAACTTTATGAGCAATAATCATCAAGAACTGAGACTCCAAAATTCGGATTCTCATATCTCTCGCATTTTCTCATCAGCCAAACAGAAAATGAAGAAAGGCATATTGAAAATTTAATTCAAAAAAATTACTTGGTGACAAGTCTTCCCATTCTGAGAATCATATATTCTTCCTCCAATAACGCGAACTCCAGGACACTTAGACCGACTCTTCTTCTCCTCTGTAGCAGCAACTGTTTCACTTTTCAATTCAGGACCTGAAGAGATAACTGCCATAACTACAGCTACTGCTTTCCGGCAGTGTTACCAAATCGAAGACAAAATCAGATTACGTTTATCTCAGACAAAGGAGAGATATCCGGAGAAATGTCTCAGTTTTTTTTTGACTTTATTTGAATTTCAGTTCCCTCTCTAGCAGCAGTGGCGGGAGAGATTTGAGAAGACTGAAATTTTTTGGGGCCAAGAAATGAATTTCTTGATTTTGGGATTTTGGAGTTTTGGAGGGTAAATCATAAATGGAGCGCCACCTCATTTGGATTGATTTGTAATTTATAGGATAAAATTAATAATTTAAAATAATGGAATTTTAGATAATTTTTTTTGGATAAGATCAAAATAATTTTTAAAAATCTCTATAGTTCGGTAAATCTAATTCATGTATTTAATTTTTTTTAATTATTTATTACTTTTAATTATATATACTATTTTTAAAGAGCAAAGACTTATATTTATTCCGACTAAGATTTAAAATCACAACCATTATTATAAACACAATTAATCAAATTTTATTTGATCAATTTTTAAGTGATCATTTATTCAAAAATTATTCAAATTGGAAATTGTTATTCGATTATATTAATATATATTATCAATGAATTTTCAGTAAAATTAAATTCTTAACCTTTTATTACTTTTAAAGATTAAAAAATGAAATAACTTTCCATAATTGTCTATCGATTTTCTTTTTTGAGTAAATAATAATTTATTTTCATTCATATCTTATTTCATGAATGATACGTATTTTATTCATCTTTTCTACATTTTCTTTATTCGGATAATACATGTATAATTAGCTTTATACTTCCTTTATATGGATTAATGACCGTATTCTTTTAACATTCGTTTCTAAATAATGTGTTCTATTAAAATATTCTTTGGCAACGAATCTATAATAATGAAAAGATTATATTAAATTTTTTTAATAAGCAAATAATTATTTTTTATTAAATTATAATCTTCAGGAAAAGATAATTAAAAATCAATTGGTAATTATAGTATTATTTAAAAATATTAATAGGGACATCATTTATTATTTTCAAGATTGAGAAAATGATTAGTTATTAGGAAAGACAACATCAAATTTTATTTTTTGGTTAATTAAATTCCAATACCAATCAGATAAAGATTCTTAGTTTGAAAATAATAGTTTTAATGGAGAATAAAAATTAAAAAAAGAAAAATTAAAGGTCCTTTGTCTGTGTTCTCCAACTTGATATAGTCAAGCCATTACAGACAAAAAGTCAGAAACTCAGAATAGGAAGTTCCAGGTAGGCTTGGGTTAACAACTAGAAATCCCAAAGGCCAAAACAGTGTCAAGCCCACTTTAGAGTTCAGGAGTCCCTAGCCTAAACCTTTATCCTTTTAATAATTTTTTTATCTTTATTTTCATGAGGTCAATAATTTTTTAAAAATTTTTGAATTTATAAACTTTTAAAAATTGCATAATCAGATTTTTATTTTTTCCATTTTTTAGAATATACCTGAATTTTTTTATTTTATTTTATAGGCGATTAGAATGAATTTCTTAAAAGTTACAGACAAAAATTATTGAAGTGTTGGATCTAGCTGGTTTTATTAATTCATGTAATAGAATAATTACAATTTTGGTGTATTAACTTTTTGAAATTTTTTATATTTTAGTATATGAACGAAAAAGTTTACAATTTGGTGATAAACTTTTAATTTTTTAATAATTGAGTGAAATTTATACACATGGACAGCTGGAATCCTTGTAGGACAACTAAGTCCCACTTTTTTGGCGCACAATTAGCAATTAAGAAATGAAAAGTGAGACCCAACTGTTCTACAAGAATTTTCGACCGTCCATGTATACAAATTTCACACAATTATTAAAAAATTAAAAATTTTTTCACCAAATTGTAAACTTTTTATGTCCGTACATTAAAATAAAAATTTACAAAAAATGCATACACCAAAATAGCAATTATCCATATATAATATGGTGAATAGCGAAGTGCTTCAAATTCAAATTTACGATACTATTCCAGTTTATTTAACTTTTCAATTAATAAAAAACCACAAAAATTATTGAGGTGATGATATTTGTTTATTTTAATATTGTAATTAAAATAGATTATGAATTTATTAATTCAAAAAAGTACATACCTATAAAACCCATATAGGGTCGAAAGAAAAAAAAAAAAAAAACCATATATTGTTGTCCATTAAATTGAATAGAAATATTACAGTAATTGAGGTAGGAGGGTTACGCCAATGACCAAAGTGTCATGTCACTTCGCCATCTAAGCTGAGCTTCATTGGTCTATTTTAGTAATATCCCTTCATAAATAAGCAACGTTAAAATAGAATTTCTGTTAAAGAGTTGAAAGGTCATTTTCTTTCTAATTAAGACAGTGTGAGTCAAAAGGTTTTATTAGTACAGTAACTGTAATGGGCCAAGAAAATCCTTAGTGGGCCATATCCAATGGCATTAAGATTGGTTTTAGTCACAAGTGGCAGCCTGTGAATGGGCCAACAAAGATAAGGCAGCAATAAGTAGATTCTTGATATGATTTTAACTCTAAAGACTGAAACCATTTCTTTGCAATCGCAGAAGCATAAGCACCACGTAGAAATCGCATCATTATGCTCTTAAATTTCCTATTGTATCTAATCAACTCTCCATTTTTTAAAATAAAGCTCTCTCTGCAAGATTTGTAACCTACTAATCTGGGAGTTCCAGTTTTAGAGTTTTGTAATTGGTATCTCTCTAATCTGCCTTTTTATTTTGCTTTGTATCTTTCTGCTATTCAATTGATTCTTTGCTTTGTTCTCTTGGAAGAAACTAATGTGCAAGAAAGGAAATGTCTTCTAATCTTCTGTCTAGGGTGTTATTTTCTGCGTTTTATCTGTTTTCTGTCTTTATGTGCAAATCAAGTCCTTGGTTAAATCACAAAATGTTTTTGTTTTTCTTTGAAAGCCTCATAATGGAAATATTACAATTGAAACGAGTTTAAGACCTGGATGTAAACTTTTGGTGAATACCCAGATAGTATATTTAATCTTGGGCAGTAGGGAATTAACATAGTCTAACCCCATAGAGTCATGACTATGTCCTTATTGGTTATTCTTCCACTGAATTTAATGCATCAAAATTTAGAAATTAGAATCAACATGGTAGCAATTGTAAAGAACCAAGTAGGTTACTGTTGGACTTTGTGAAGAACACTTGCTAATAGTTCTTCACAGGAAAGGTGTCTTAAGATACTCATGGAGCCAAGGACTAATTGTCTGCTGGATTATTTAATTCTCTGAAAGAATGATTGTTTATGCTATACTGTGGTGGTTGTTTCTGCAGTATTTTCTTGGACTTGGCTAATCAGAGAGGTGATGACTCTGTGCCCAAAACATGTGCGTTCTTGTATATCTTGACTAACTTGAAATGCTTAAGAACACATTATTTCCATGAAAAGAATCAGATTATACTGGATTCGCATCTTTGCTTATGTGACTTAATGGCTCAGAGACTATGAAAATAATGCCTGTCCATGGTCACAAATAATGACTGTTTCCTGATGTTTCGCCTGTTTTGTAATGGGATTTTAGCCCACTGTTATATTATTTTCTGCTTCTCTATGGGTGATTCGCCAATCACCAGGAAACCATTGACAAAACGTGAGAAATGTTTCTTTATTCATAAAATGTTCCTTTAGGTTATTATTCACCTAATATATTGGCTACTTATTAACCTTATTTTTGAACTTGCATTTTATGGAATTATTATATATTGTTGATTGTGATTTTGTTATGGCCTTAAGAAAACTCATAGCAACTGCTGCCGATTCGGACTGATTTAGTTAGATTCAAGCCAATTCAATCTCCATTCCTTTTACTGTTTTGAATCCATTGTTTAAACCCTATCCCCCTTAGCATCTAACATGTCCAAATTAGTTTTTGTCATTGAATGATTTAATACGCATAAAGGCAAGCAAATCTAGACACATGCATTCAATCCAATTTGAAGTAGGAAGTACATGCCTGTCAATGGATAATATTATCAGAAGCGAATCAGTATCACATTTGGACTCATCGAATGACCTAATAGGAGTAGCAATATGTGTACCAGTTCGTGTATTTTCAATAGTTTTCATAGGAAGCTGAACCAACAAACTCGGATTTATTTTCCTTCAGTAGCTCATAAAACTTTTTCATATATCTATTTTTTCAGGCTTACATGGCTGTAGTTCCAGTATGGTGCAAAATGCCCTACAAAAATTACATTCATTCACCTCAAAATTCAGCAAGACAGCATGAGAGAGGCCTTACATGTGTATGTTATGCCTTTCCACATGGAAATATTTCCAGTGATGCACGCAAGAATTTTCCAGCCTTATATTCAACTGCTGATATTTTGATGAAAACCAAAACAAGAGGAGAAGTGAATGTCTCTAGAGAAGCAATTCTCAGCCAAGGCACTCTGCATTTCCAGAACATGATTGAAGTGTCAGACCTGCATAGAGTCTGGAACATAAAAGGAGAAAATTTCTATGCGGCATCAGATTCACCAAAGAATAGTAATATTGAGAAGCAACTGGGATCTCTAGATTCTTATTTTAGGAAACTTCAAGGTGCTATAACTCAGCCCCCTTCAGATTCTTCTAATGAGACAATAAAACCACTTGATAAAAGTGAACAAATCAATGCAATGGAGGAGCTGAAATCTTTAAATTCTTATCTTGGAAAACTTAATAAAGGTTAGACATCATTTCTTAGTCACTCAATTATCTATTTTTAACTTTCAAATTCAACACATTAGTGCTCAATTGCTTTCCCTTTAATTGTGCTTTTTTTTTTTCCTTTAATGTAATTTAACAACTCGAAAGGACCATCATGACTGTGGATAGCTAAGGCCAACTACTTAAAGTGTTAATGCACTTTGTTGAAGAAATAAATGGATACTTGATCAAAATTTTTACTTTTTGTCTTCAGATGTAAACTTCAAAAATGATTTGCTATCTACTTTTGATGGCCAAACTTCAGAAGAAGTAAATCCAGCAGAAAAACCATTCTCAGTTTATGAAGATTCTAGAAGAGAGGAAGGGGAGAAGCCGAAAAGTTTTGTGAAGTACAGAAAAAAGGATGTCAATATAGTTTCTATGACGTCTCAATCCTTGAGGCAAAATGGTGAAACTTCTGATTTCTACTTAATGTAAGTTAAATATTGCATTCACTATTTTTCTTAATATAGCATGATTTTTACAGATTCACATTGACTTTTCTTGCAGAAGCAGTTTGGTTAACTAGATTTACATTGAATTTTCTTGCAGAAGCAGTTTGGTTTCAATAAACATTGCTGTTTTTCTGTTTGAAATAGCCAGTCCAGTTAGGAATTCTGAATTTGAGCTTCTTTCTCTCCCATTATTATATGGAGCAAAAATAAATGATTTGATCCTGGTCGGAGAATGGTGGAGGCTAGTAACACCAATGTTTCTGGTACAAGATTGAGAATTGGGTTCGTGTTCCCATTCTGTTACTGTTTTGTCTGTTGATTAAAAGGCAACTTTCATTTGAAAATTAGTGGCAATTACTTATTTTATGTTGCTCACATAAATTTAGCTTCTTTACAAACTGCCTTCAAAGTCATTGCAAAACTATATATACATCGAACTCATCAACTAGGCAGTCAACTCTACATAAAAAATTTATAAGAAATAAATTGAACTTATTATATGATGCAAGCAATAGCATTACAAATTTTCTGAACATTCGTTAGCTAAATTTATTCTAGTTTGGCTTTTAACTTCCAACGCCACATTCTCTCTTACCAATAAGTAGCATATGCAGCACTCAGGGGTGTTTCATGTGGCTCTTGGTTGTTGGTCACTTCTTACTTTCGGGCCTCGAGTTTGCCAAGGTTATGGTTCATTTACGTTTTTCTTGATATACATACTTGGCGGCCTTTCTGGCAACTTGACAAGCTTTCTTCACACACCAGGACCAACTGTTGGTGGAACAGTAAGTGGCAATGCACCTTCTCTTTTTTTTTTTCTTTGTTCTCCTTATTCCATATTTGTTTACATTCTATGTCAATAAGTTTAACACATGCACTGATATTAATTTCTATAAATGCCTTACCATTCCAAATCTTTCAGTAACATATGTTGTGTGTATGTTGGCTCCTTAACGTCTGATATTCCTCCTCTAATTACATTAAGAATGTTGAATATCATGTACGTGTGAAAAGAAATTGATCCTTCTATGTATAGAATTTAATTTTGCACTTGAGTTTATTTTATTTATCAGCGTGAAGCTACCAACTCTTGAATTTACTGGTACAAAGCCATACGATAGCACTCAATTTTTCCGATTTGGCTGTTCAATAAAATACATTTTTAAACCAAGTCATATGTGTGCAGGGACCAATATTTGCTATAATTGGAGCTTGGCTTGTTTATCAAATGCAAAACAAAGATGTAATTGCTAAGGATGTTTCAGAGAGTTTATTCCAGAAGGCCATAATCACAACTGGTCTCGCTTTCATATTGAGCCATTTTGGTCCAATTGATGACTGGTAAGATTTTTCTACCGCTTGAATATTGTTGCAAAATTGGCAAAAATATCCAAAGCAGATATTTTTCCTTGTTGATTTATCAAAATAAAAAGAAACATAGATACTATCTGACAAAGATCTTATAAGCATTTGAATTTTATTATGATTTTTAGTATTATAAATATAAAATTTAAATGAAATGAAATCCCAAATGTTTGCTTACTTGGTAACCGAATTTGGTTCTCACCTTATTAAGGTTTGATTGTCTGAACTAGTTCACAAGTAAGGTACTTTCTTATTTACAAATTCCCTGGTCCTGGCTAGATTTTCTGCATTTGATCATATTGTAAAGATAAAATTAGTACAGAGCACAAAAGCTAACCTCTTCGCTACCACCTTATTGCTAACAAAAAAACAGTGTAAACATTAAAATGAAATAACAATGAGAAGTACATATATAAATTCATTTGACTGTGTATTTACTTCTGTTAGTAATAGCCTTTATTTTAACTGATAAATTTTGTAGGACACATTTGGGAGCAGTTCTCACAGGCATAGCATATGGCTTTTTCACATGCCCTACACTACAACTGGATAATGCATCTTCAAGAACTGGTCAGGATGAAGGAATTGCACTTGTTAGAGGATATGCCAATCCTTGTAAATCACTGGCTTTATTTGCAGTCTTCATTCTTTTCTTGAGCTCTTTGCTTTTCTTTGCTGAACCTCCACTAGACACTGGAGTGAGTGATGACTTTGTATGGTTTCTTCAATACCTTAATTAATGTATTGGATTCATTTAATTGGGGGTGAAAGACAAATATGTGTATATATAGAATAAATAATGTCTTCATAATATCATCTCTTTTGGAATTGTTGAGGATTTAATTTTCAACTTATCTTGAACTTTGATGGATAGATTTGTATTCAAAATAACAAATTTTTTAGGAAGACAAATAATTGAGTAATTATGGTATTTTCTTAATATTCTTCTATTGTTTCTAAAAATTATTTTTCTATAAAATATTTTCCAGATTTTTCGATATTTAGAGGGCGTGGAAAATTAGATGATGAAAAGTATTTCTTTTTTTTTTTTTTTCGAAGGGTTCAGTGAACTATTTTTTAAAAATTGATAAACTTACTCTAATATGAAAATTATAAATAAATATTAATAAATCTATTTATATGGGTTGGCTATAACCATGCCTAACTTGTGAATATTACAGTCTTGACTTTGCCCTTTGATTGAAATTCATTTGTATTTTTATATTTTTTTCATGTTCAACAATAAATTTTTAAAATGTGAAATTTTTGTAATTTCAAATATTTTTGTAGTTTTCTAAATTAAAACTTTTTTATGTTAGTTACTTAATTTTCAATATTATAATCTAGCAATAGAAAATGAAATATATAAAAAACACTTCTTCACAAAAGCTTTAGAACTAAAAATTCTTTTTTCTAATTAATTATTTAAAAAAAAATGAACCCTAAATATAAATTTGAATTCATTTAGGGATGACTCTTATTAAAAAGCTAAAAATTCTCGTACTTGAAAAAATTTAAATTTAATATCTCTTACGCTCCACATAAGCGAAAATATCAATCAGACTACATTGAATCAAATTTAATTTAAATATTAAACATGAAGTTTGAAGAGAAGACTTCACTTGAAATTGTGGTAAGAGGTGTATTTTAAGATAAGTTTTACTGTTTTCAATCCATCAAAGCTTAAAATATATAAAATTTAATTCTAAAAGGTTAAGTTTAATCAATAAAATAAGATACAAATACACGCTTATACTCAAGTAGCTTGAGCACGGTTCAGAAAAAACCATTGCAAAGAATTGAATCAAACCAATTCAAATAGATTCTATTTGATATTTTTAAATTCAGTTCAAAATATCCTTTTGTCCGTAATCGTTGATTTTTTAAATCCGCTTTACTTTGATTATGTCTAACTTGAGCTATGCGAGTCTCTCATATAGGGGTAATTTTTTCAGCGTGATAATTTTCATATCCAAGGCTAAAAAGAGATTTTTGATTAAGAAAAATAAATATTGACTGCTCCATCTCAATAAACATCAATAAAACAGTTATTTTTATTAAATTCAAAAATTAAGTCTACATCTAGTAAAAATACTTAAAATTGAGAACCAATTAAACTTAATTTTAATTTCGGTTTGATTTACATTTAAAAGTTTTGGCAATTTGATTTTATTAATTCAATTCGATGACTGAATTTATGTTGTGTCACGCGCTTAATTATATCACGCTTTATTATGCATTAATCAGCTTTTATAAAGATTATTCGTGCAGTACATAATCACATTTACAGTCCCTTCAAGTAACAGACACGTTGCCAGCAGCTACAAAGTTGTTCTCGTCGCTTCTTTCCAAGAACCCACGTAGCCATTGCCGAACCAGCCAGACCCTTCTTCTCTTTTTTTTCTAAAAGTGAAGTTTTTAAACTTAAAACCCGATTCTCTCTCTTTCTACAATTCCCTACTTGACAATGGCAACTGGTAGGACTCAAAGAGACTTAATAGGTCCTCTCTTAGCAGTAAACTTCATCGTTTATCTGATAATACTAGGCCTTGCTGGTTGGTCTCTTGATAAGTACATCAATGGTGAACAAAGCCACCCGCGTAAGTTCTCTCTTTTGACTCTCATTAGTAGTTAATTGATTAGTTAATTGGTGGAGTGGACTGATTTTTGTTTTTGTGCAGATTTGGGAGGGAATCCAGCAACAAACTTCATGTTGGTGTTTGCTTTGTTAGGTGGAGTAATTGGAGGTAGTTCAGTTGTGGTTGGGCTTTTTCACTTTCGTTCATGGAGAAGTGACAGTTTGGCCTCTGCTAGTTCTCTGGCAATTATTTCTTGCGTTATTACTGCTCTTGCTTTTGGGTATTTTTTGCTGCATCTTCTTGTTTATTTTTGAATAGTCATAGACCACATTGTTTCAGCAAGCTTGTTTGGTTGATGGAATTTGAATGGAGGATTTTATAAAATAATGGATAATTCCATCATAGAGGTGCTATTTTTTCCATTGTTTTGATGGAATCTTAACTATTTAATTTTATTTTAAAAACAATCTCAAATCCATGAATTTTATTTTCCAACTAAACGATTTTCATGTAGATTTCACGTTCCATCAATCAAAACGAAAGCTTAGAGCATGGCCTTGACTCTGTGTTTTGTTACAGACTGGCATGTAAGGAGATCATATTAGGAGGGCATAGAGGAAAACGCTTGGTAAGAACTTCAAACAGCCTTTTGTTTAGAATAATCATGTCTTGCTTTACTTCCTGCTAGCTTGAGTGCCAAAAAATTACAGTGAATTATAAATCAATGCTTGATTACCTACCTATGAATATGATCATTATTTTGCAGCAAACATTGGAAGCACTGATTGTAATATCACTGCTCAGTCAGTTCCTGTATATAGTGCTTCTTCATGCCGGGATATACAGTCCCCAATATGGACCCGGTTACCGCGGCTCTGACGGCTCTGACGGTGACCATGGCCAGAGCAATCCCACAGGCAATGAACAGCAGAAGACTAGCAGTAGTCATGCTGCCACCTGATTACAGAACTTCTTGCAAGCATATCTCTGTTATATAATGTAATATAAAAACATACGAATTATGCACATTTTGTATTTCTTGTACATAAGTTGGTGTGTGTTAAAAGATTCATATAGTCGATCTCAAATAGTTTGGGACTAAGGTTCGGTTGTTATTTGTTGCTAACAGGTCTAGCATCAAATTTGAAAATGTGAAATAGAAATCTTGAAAAAAATTGGGGAATCAACTGGTACAACATAGAGAAGAAACAAATGATTCATTTACTTGAGGAAGGGAAAGATTGAACACCAAAAATCAGAAACGGAAATCCTCTCAAGTGAAGTGAGACAAGTTGCCTTCAAACTGGAGTTTGATTAATTAACTGACTTTTGTCACCCCATTTCACCAAAAAATATAAGGAAAAAGGCCTGTTTTATTTTTCAAGGAACAGACATGGAAAACAATCAGTTTCTAATTCGAGAACCTCTTTTAAACATAGAAGGTTAAAAGTTAAAACCAAGGAAGCAAACCATGTGAAAAAAGTTGGTCAACTCTCCTACAGATTGAACACAAAATTTTTAATATTATCAAATTATAGTTTACCTGATAGACACAGTCTATCTAAAAATATAAAATTGAAGAACGATTGCGAACCTGAGCTGCCCATTCATAAATCTATCAAATTTGTTCATCATAATAAATGCTTTTCAAGCTTAACTTGTATCGCCTAATTATATATAATCACACATATTAGGATATCCTTATTTCTTAACTATTTTGATCCATCCGTCTGCCATTCTACTATTGCTAGAGTATGCCTTCCTCCACAAGCAACAAGTTTAGCAATCCAATGTCCCTCAGCTTCAGTACCACTAAGACTTCTAGGAGGGGAGATGTCAATTGGAACTTCCATTGGTTGACCTGTTGTCACCTTTCTCCCATATCCAAGTCTTCCATGGTCACCTCGACCAAACTGCCAGCAAGACCAGTCAGCATAAATTATGTTTAGCAACAAAAACACTCAGCTGATCAAAACGATTTCAAAAGCAAATATAAACTGCCCCAAAATAATTGAGAGAATTTAATCCGATTCTATTAAATTCAAGAGTTTCTGTACATTTTGACTCGTTCTATTTATAACTTGTAAAATTGTAAAATTGTAAGAATCAACTTGCATTTTTAACAATGACGGACTGAACCAATTTAAGTACACCCCTAATATTAGTATATGAGAGCAGTTCCATCAGCAAAAAGAAAGGGAAAAAAAATCCGCTTTTCGATAATGGATATGTAGATGACCCAGAGGAAAAAATAACCATATAAAATGCCTCAACATTAGGAAGCATACAAAATCAAGCTGTTTGCATTTGCAGTTATTTATAATATAATAGGCTCTTTAGTTGTGCTCTTCTTAATTATCATACCATTAGTAAAAAAAACAGAGTGAATTATACTTACTGAAAACATTCTGCCATCACGTGTCAATGCAACTGAATGAGTCCCACCACAAGATACCTAAATAATCAAAAAAATAGATTTAATCAGGTAATGTTCAAAGAAGTGGGGATATTTGAATGGTTGAGAATATCTCTGGAGCAAATAAATGTCATTCAATTTCACTTTTACGGGAATCATTCCATTCATTTTACTCTTTAACGAATACAAAAGACAGCTGCAGCCTGCAATCTATTGTGCATCACCAAAAATTATGAGAGCGAACAATAAAGACGTTACTTGGAGAGGCTAGTTGCATAGTGCAGCCCATAATTATGGGAACAGATACATGCATTTCACTGAAATGAATGTCTAGAGCATACATTTAGTGGAAATAGCTCCACCCTTTAAATGGAATGCCTAAAACGTTCATAATTGCAATACAAAAACAACTATTAAAATTTATTGTAAGACCTATAAGGTGACTATAATCCTCCAATAAATGCCAAGGGGCATCTGCCCATATGGAAAAACAACCTAAATCAAACATCTATGTTAAACTCTATAAGTCCCTTAATGCCCAAAACATATTATAAATATATCACATTTGGCTCTTATCCTTTAACCCTCTCAAGAAACATTAGTTGAACCAAAGGAAAAATGACAAGCTTAGGTTGAGGAAGCCTTACAATATGATACACACAAACACACATATGTATGACGAGTAAATAAGCAATTCAGGAGTCTCTCAAGTTTCAATGTTATCCATGACAGTACCTGAACAATGTCTTCTCCAGCTAAAAGTTGAACCCTTTGGGGCAACATTTTACTGCTCTTGTCATTATCTCCAAATCCAAGTCTCCCATGCTCCCCTCTACCCCACCCATACACCTGCAAAAAATTCATGGGTGTTGCATAGAATTCATTCTTTCTTACAGAGATTCACAACTCAAGGATCATCTTATGCACAAAGTCATAATAAAAACACATATAATCAACCTAAATGCAGATATTAGACATATTAAAAAATATCACTACCTCTCCATCATCTGTTAATGCAGTAGAATGCCATCCGCCAGCAGCAATATCAACCTAGACACGCACATAAATATAATCAGAAACATGAAAAAGCAAACAATCTCATATATGAAAAAACCTGCATTTCACCTGCCTCACAACATAATGATAAACAAAACCGGGGATTTCAAACTAGTAACAAAAGGTTCAAGCCATCAAACAAATGTATTTGACAATGTAATACAAACCAAATTGAGACCAGCAAGCCCTTGGACTGGAATAGGCTGCGATCTGGGTTGGGTATCCCCAGTTCCAAGCTGTCCATATTCATTATTCCCCCATGCCCACAGAGTTCCATCTTCTTGAAGAGCTAAATTATGAAATGCCCCTACTGCTATGAGCTTCACTCTTTCAAGGCCTTGTACCCGCACAGGGACAGATATCTGTTTTCTGTAAATAATGGTACAAATTGAAAAATAATTACGTATTCAAAAGATACCCATTACAAGCATACAGCAGATGCCAATATTGGCGAAGTACATTCCAAAAGGATGTTAAAAACGGATATAAATATAAGCAGTAGAAAAATCCAAAATATAGCTTCAGGATAAGTCAACGAACTGTACATGTCTCCTGGAGGCCATGGTTGACCCCATGTCCATACATGTCCTTCACACGTGAGAACCACAGAGTGAGTACCCCCAGCAGCTACCTAATATTTTTGAGCAATTATAACAGAGATAAAACAATTTAGAGCAACAACATTTCTTTTTGTATGCAAATGCAAGTGAGATAAGCGAGCAAGTCGTGCTTTCCTAAGAATACCCAGATCTGCATAGTATTATACCACTGAGATGTACCTGAAAGAAAAAAATTTCAAAAAAGACGTAGTAATTTTGCTTGAAGAGTCACGTACTGTCCGAGAGTAATTTGTTTCTTCTTATGGGCCAATGCTTATGAAGCACCAACCCCATGAAAGTACAAGAAAATAACATGTTTGATTCCAGTGGTTGAAGTGAAAATGGGAAGAAGAAGAGGAGTTTGCATTTGGCAAATACAGATTACCATTAAAAGACTATACAGTTTAAACTCACATCCATTTGGTCAGAGGACAACGGGAAACCAAAAGGAGTTCCTTCAACATAATCAAGCTCCTGTCAATTTTTAAACATTGGTAGAAAAGTAAAATCACCTGGCGAACAACCAACTTTGGTGCACACCGCTGAGGAATCACTATATCCCGTCTCAGTGGCTTCCCAGTGTCCTCCTTCCGTTCAGGTTCTTCACCGCACTGCCCATACTCATTCCCACCTACACCATATGATGCATCTCACTTCAATATTTATCAATTACCGCTATTTTTGACACAATAAGCAACCTCCAGCTATTGTGCTATGATTAGAAAAAGCAAAAAGAAAAGTACACAAACCTATAAAAACTGAAGTCCACATTTTTCAGCAATTTTGACCTTTCAATACCGAAAACAAGTAACTTCCTCAGACATTACCTCAGGATTTTTTTTTTTTTTTTGGCATACATTGTTCTAGACCAAGCGAAGAAATGACCAAATAAATGGAGGGGAAGGAAAACAGCTTTATATACATACCCCAAGCATAAGCACGGCCTTGATCATCAACAGCCAAGCAATGCCACCCACCAATAGCTGCCTAAAAAAACCAACAATCCACAAATTTAAAAGTTACAAAAGTCATTCTACGGGCAAAAAGCTCAATAGAGGTTTAGGGACTTAAAAACTTCAAGGGAAAAAAAAAAAAAAAAAACAAAAAAACAAATTACCTGAACAATGCTAACACTGGCAAGAGCCTTAACCTGGCTAGGAACATTCTCAGTCTTCGTCCCAGATGGGTGCCCTAATGTCCCCCTCTGGTTCCACCCCCAAGTAAACAACTAACGACCCAATTCAAAACAATAAAAACCACTGTCAAATTTTCAATCATCTCGCACCAATATATTCCAAATAATAAGGAAAAGGGGAAGTTCTGACCTTGCCATCATCACAAATAGCAAGAGAGTTTCGACTACCGGCTACAACAGAACGAACTTTGTAGGGTTCAAGAGCTTCAACAACGCAAACCCATTCTTTCTCTTCATTGGTGCCTAGTCCCAGTTGCCCATCTTCACCTGAGCCCCTATTTTTCAATACAGAAAATAATCAAGTAGCGTACTTAAAATACAAAGAAGAAGACTTTCTAGATGGCAAGTGACTAGTGACTCACCAGGCGATGAGGGAAGTGTGAGTAGCCATGGAAGAGATGGGTGTCGAAGTAGAAAGCTTTTTAAATTGAATAAAGGCACTATAAATGGGATTATGGCGAGAGGATTTTGTCACTTTTGGTATTTATATATATATATATATATATATATGTAGGAAAGCCTTCTCTGTTGCAAGTGGAGAGGGTTTTTGGTAGTGGAGGATTTTTGGTAGAGAATTGGATTCCAGAATCCAACGGTGATCAAATATGAAATCAGAGAGAACAATGAAATGTTTGGAGACAACAATTGAGCTTTTTAGCTTTTGAAAAAAAAAAAAGAATATCATTGTGATTTATTAAAATTGAGGAATTGCTTTCATTTTTTTTTTTTTTGTGTTATTTAATTAAATTTAAATATTTAAGTTTAATTGATTTTAAATTAATTACATGTTTTTTTTTTTTTTTTTTACTACAAAACAATTTTAAAAAATTCTGTATCGGTAGAGAAACTATAATTTTATACCATTTGGCATTCTAACCTACTATAGCAGGTACATATAATAATTATATAAGTTTTTAGCAAGTACATATCACTGATTATATAAGTTTTTTTTTTATTCTTTGCAAAATTCATTTTTTCTTCTTTTAGTAGAAAAAATGTCTTTTTTAAATTACTATAAAAAAATACATATCATTTTTTTAATTATATATTTTTTTCAATTTCATTTAGATAAATATTTTAAACTGTTAGAAATATATTTTATAAATTAATTTTTATTTATTTTAATTTAGATAAATAATTTTAAACTGTTTTTAGAAATAATATTTTTAATAAATTAATTTTTTTAATTTATTTTTTAAATAAATTTAATCCAGCCAAATTCTCGTAGCAAAAAAAAAACCAAAAATCACAATCACGCTAGTTGTTAAATATAATTATAATATTATATAGCCAAGTAAATGAGATTTTATAAAAATATTTTAATGAGATAAGTATAGAGCATGTAAATTAATATTAAAACGGTTAATCAAAGAGACATTAGCCGATTCTTTAACAGTTGATAAGCCTAACAATGAAGTATTAAGTATAAATATTCCAACATAAACGAAAATGTACGCATTATACTAATATAGTTTCGTTATGAAAGAATAAACAATGAATGTTTTTAATTGATATATTATTTATAAATTATATAATAGCATATATATAAGTTTTTTTTGATTTTGTTTGTTGTTTTGACGTGTGTGATAGAGCTCGGTCATCGTGTACGATCTTGACAAGGAGATCAAGAAATGCTAAGTCAGAAGTGTGCTTCCGGCACTACTCCGAGCCAAAAAACAGCGTTGTCATCAAACTTTTGATATTACATTCACCATATTTAGGCACAACTTGTACGTAGCAATTTTAATTCCTGGACCATAACCTCAGGTACACTTTCTTAAGTCCCAAAGCAGACTAGCATGTTCAGATTGTTACCGAATTTAATTATATATTTTTTTCAATTTCATTTAGATAAATATTTTAAACTGTTAGAAATATATTTTATAAATTAATTTTTATTTATTTTAATAAATTTACCACATTCTCGTAGCAAAAAAAAACAAAAATCACATCAGCTAGTTGTTAAATATAATTATAATATTATATACCAAGTAAATGAGAATTTATAAAAAATAATTAAAATGAGATAAAGTAAATGATGTGTAAATTAAAATATTAAAGTTAATAAAGAGACACAATTGCTTTTACAAAAGTTGATAGCTAACAATGAAGTATTAATATAAATATTCAAAATAACGAAAATTAACCAATTAATAATAATATATTCGTTTGAAGAATAAACAATAATGTTTAATGATATATATTTATAAAATTTATATAGCATAATATAAGTTTTTTGATTGTTTTTTTCTATACAAATAAAAGTAGGCTTTCAAAAAATAAACTTGATATTATTCATTTTAGGCACAACTTGTACGATTTTATTCCTGGACCATAACCTCACTTCTAAGTCCAAAAGACTTAATGTTAATGGATATAACTGTTTTGATTTATATATTAGATGTTAGAAATGGTATCTGAAGATTATATATTATGACTTAGAATGAATTTAAAACTTATTATTGATATATTTTTGGATAATAAAAATAACAATTTTTTTCACTTAAGTTTTAAGATGTAAAAAATAATAAAAAAAAATTAATTTTTTTTTTTTGAGCGCAGGGGCCCTTATGATTTATCATCCTTAAAAGACCTATTGTTAGTCTAAAGTTTATCTAATTTTATATACATTACTTTCACGTAATCTATCAATCTATCTATCCTAAGTAAGTTAACATCTAGATCAATCACCTCAATTGGTGCGGAGGTTAACCGTTAACAAATTAAAATTAAAAACTTTATCTATGAGAAATATTGATAGTCAATTCTCAAAGGCCAAAATTTCAAAGTCAAGAAGTTTGCAATTAATTGTCAACTAACCCAACCCAACTTAAAAGTACCGTAAAAAAACTAGGCCCGCTTTCCTTTAAGAATGATAACATGCTTCTCTTGTGTGAATATATGTCTATGTGGCTAGGGTGCGTTGACGGTCAAAAACACAGCGTGTCTTCCCAAAAACAACAAACCCTACGGAATCTCCGCCACCCACCACTTGTCGCCTTCCTATTCGACCTCTCTCTCCTCCTCGCCTTCTCCGTTTTTTAAACTCTATTTCCCTTCTCATTTTTTACATCGTCACTCACACCTGCAGCGACTCTTTCTCTTTTGTTCGTCCATCGATCCCTCTCAGCGAATCGTTGTAAAGGTATTTTGATCTGATTCGCTTCAATCGTCTTTGATTTTTTGGATCTATGGATTTTAGGTTTTTAGCTGCCTTTCTTGTTAATTTAACCAGAGGAATTGTGTTTTGTGTTTGTTTTGTTTTTTATTCGAGTGTGTAAATATTGCTGGGAATGAAAAGCAATTAGTATTTGGCGATAAAATTTTTCTCTGGATTCGCTAATTTGAGATCGGCTTTTCGGTTTTTTATTGAAAAAGATGCAGCAAGAGCAGTATATTGGATTTGATTTCTCGATCTATTTGATTTCTCAGAAATACAGGAATCAATAGTTGACTTAGATTTTTTTTTTTTTTAAATGTTTGAGATTTTTACTTCAGGTCCTGTAAAAGGAATTCTTTGTTTATAATCTGTTTGGCTGTTGAGAAAATCTTGGAGAAAGAAAAGAATTAGGTCTTTTATTTATAATTTTTGTATTATTATTAAAATGATCTCTTTTATTTCAGGCTTTAAATTTGCTCAAATAATTTTTTTTTTTAGAAGTTAATGGCTAATTTTTGGGCCATGCTAATTATGCTTGATTTCTTGTTTTGTGAATAATTCTTCAGAGTTAATATTTAGATTGATATAGAAAAAAATGTCGCCTACTGAAACATCCCGTGAGGAAAATGTCTACATGGCCAAATTGGCTGAACAGGCTGAACGCTATGAGGAAATGGTGGAGTTTATGGAAAAGGTAGCAAAGACCGTGGATGTTGAGGAGCTAACCGTGGAGGAAAGGAATCTTCTATCCGTAGCTTACAAGAATGTAATAGGGGCTAGGAGGGCTTCATGGAGGATAATCTCTTCAATTGAGCAGAAGGAAGAGAGCAGGGGAAATGAGGATCATGTCACCATCATTAAGGAATATAGGGGTAAGATCGAATCAGAGCTGAGCAAGATTTGTGATGGGATATTGAGCCTCCTTGAGTCACATCTCATTCCCTCTGCCTCATCTGCCGAGTCTAAGGTGTTTTATCTTAAGATGAAGGGAGATTACCACAGGTATCTTGCTGAGTTTAAGACTGGGGCAGAGAGGAAGGAAGCTGCCGAGAGCACTTTGTTGGCTTATAAGTCTGCTCAGGTGGGTATCAATGTGATGACGTGTCACTTCTTCGAACAAGCTGTTGTCGTCCACCTTAGTATTCAAATTGCTTGTTGTTGTTCTTTGTGCTGTTCACCTGTATGATTGTAAACTTGCAATGTATTTTCTTATTTTATCTATTTATTTTTTTATCCAGGATATTGCTCTTGCTGAACTGGCTCCTACTCACCCAATAAGGCTTGGGCTTGCCCTTAACTTCTCCGTATTCTACTATGAGATCCTTAACTCACCTGACCGTGCTTGCAATCTTGCAAAGCAGGTATTATTGCTTAACCTTTATCAGCCACTAGCCTGTATATCTGAATAACTGTTAATATAGCATATTCTCCTACTCTGTTTACATCATTTCAAAGTTAATTTTCAGTTTACTGCTAGTGGAGTTATTTAGTTGGGTCTCCTCTTCCTTCAATTGATATTGTTCAGTAGTTTTGAAGGGCATATAGTATCAAGCATTGTGAATTTTGAATTTTAAGGGAACATATAATCAAGCCAGCTCTGATTACTTTTAGGCTGAGCAGCCTGTCATTGCCTGATCTCAGTTTATTTTACATTTAAGATGCATATTCCCCATAAATTAAAACTGTATCTGCTCATAAACTAGAGGATTAAGTGCAAGGTTTTCCTATATAGTTTTGACAATCTGGATTGAATTCCAATCTCCTTTATTTATTTATTTATTTATTATTTTGGTTCCCCTTTTTCATCACTACTAAAATACATTTCCTGCACAGGCTTTTGATGAGGCTATTTCTGAGCTTGACACATTGGGTGAGGAATCTTACAAGGACAGTACATTGATCATGCAACTTCTCCGGGACAATCTGACACTATGGACTTCTGATATCACGGTATGTGAACATGGTGACCTTAAAAGTACAACTTACAGTGTATTTTGTTAAATTATGGTTAGATAAATAGATTTTTGATGCAGTGAGTAGTTGGTCACTTGTTCTGCGTGCTCTTCTTAGTGCAAATGACTGTATTTAATGTTGATTCATTGTTTCATCATAAATTCTTTTTGGATAATTATTGAAAATTGGGGTGATGGACCAAGATCTAAAACTAAAATCCAACTGGAACAATGTCTAGTCGATTTCAAACTGGTGTAGCATAGTTAGGCCAGTTGCTGTTATGTACACGACTTTTAACAACGTTCTAGTGGTTGTATTATGCCGGGTAAGCTTAATATTTTCATTTGCTTTGATTTTAGGATGAGGCTGGGGATGAGATCAAGGAGGCATCAAAACGTGAATCAGGCGAAGGACAACCACAGCAGTAATGAATTAAAATTTGTAGGATATGTTTACTCTGTACTTCTTTCTTGTGACCTCCGCATAGATGCGATGCTGGTTGTTGTAGCTGGATTTGCATAATGAAATTGGTAAATCCTGAGTGCTGATCTGATGCTACTTGGGATTGAGGTAATTCCATAGATTATCAAGCTTCTGCTGTTGATGTTAAGAATTCATGTCTGTATTCTTATTGCTTGACCATGTAATAGTGTTGGAACTAGGGGTTCGAACCTTCCAACTTACATATAACATCAAGTGCAAGAAAATTGTTGGGTGTTATTGTTCTTTGTATGATGAAATATTGGGTGGACCCTTTCTCCATCTTTTGTTTTTATCGCTTACTCGAAATATTGAATTGATTTAGTGGTTCTTGAAGAAGATGGTTTGATCTAAGAAAGTGATGATATGGATGTAGCTGACATCCCAGCTAAGCCTGATAGGCTAATTTTGGCTGCTTATGCAACTGGGTGCGTTAGCTGTATGATTTCTATTTTTCATTTTCAGTGGCTTGCCGACTTCTGTGACTATCTTTATCAATACTTTCTGAAACTTTTTTTCCCAAACTTTCAGATAATGTGATATACCTAAATTAAAAGTACAAGTTTCGTTAAAAAAAAAAAAAAAAAAAAGACTAATCGTTTATCATTACTTTCCTGAAAACTTTTTTTTCCCAAACTTTCAGATAATGTGATAATAACCTAAATTAAAGTACAACAGTTTCGTTAAAAAAAAAAAAAAAAAAAACGGGATGCTCATGAGATGGATCCTTTTAGAATTGCTGACTTAAAATATTTTTTAAAAAAAAAAAAAAAAAAAACGGATGCTCATGAGATGGATCCTTTTAGATTCTTGACTTAAATATTTTTGCAGTAGCCATGATGTGTTTTTAGCTCATCAATTGTTTCAATTGTTTTACTGATTTGCATTAGGGAAAACGCTTATTCAAGCTATTTGATGATTTAAGTCCCTGAATTTTTAATTTTTGACATTAAGTCCTTAAAATAATGTTCTTGTTAAAATTGAACTTTTATCTAATAGAGGGTTAGAAAGTAATTAACTGCGCACATTAAGCTTGTACTGGTGGGAATGGTAACTTCTATTTTTTTTATTATTATTAAAATTAAGTTCTTATTTTATCTTTTCTATTAGTAACTTGAATTTGTCACTTGTGAATTTATGATTTAATTTTTTTACCTAAATAAAAATTGAAATGTTCAATGCGGCCGAATAAAACTTTAAGGGTTAATAGCTCAATGCTTACTTGAAGCAAAATTCAATAAATTTAGAGCTTAAATATGCATTTATCATTCCATTACTCGATGGTATAAAATTATCAAAATCTTATTTTTATTAAAAATAAATTTAAATTCCTTGGATGCTCTCTCATTTCCATCTTAATAATCAATAAATAAAAATGATATTGTCTATGAGGATCAAATTATTATATAAATATATTACAAATATTATTCTCTTTATTTATACACAGACACGTGCAACACATATACACACATTGTTATAGCGTAAATTATTATTTACACTTCGATTATTCACTAGTTGTGCTGAATATGATTATTAGATTATTCACTGTTATTTACACATATACACACATTGATAGTTGATAAACTTTGATTAGAGCGATTTCTGTTGAAATGATTATTAGAATATTTTATAAATAATATATATAATTATTCTCATTTTTTTAAGGTAAACACATTATTTTCTATTTTAATGTGTTATATTAATAAAACAAATTACATTAATATTTAACAGTTATTTTTTAATTTCAAATACTTATAAAGAAAATGGTGATATAAATATATTAATTTGAAAAAGAAAATTTTAAAGAACAAAGCCCAGTAAGTTTGCTTTCTGAATTTAAAATCGATCTTTTAATTTAATTTATCTATTAAACAGATCACTAGGTAACATCATTTTTAGGCAAATTGTTTGTGAATTATGACAAAATGAGCCTGCATGTTGATTTTTATTCCTGAATTACAAGTTGAGGAACAACTTAAATTTAATTTTATAAGGTTAAAAGAGTTCAAATAAAATATGAATATGTATTTACATAGGAAAAAAATATCGAAATATAATTAATGAGATTGAAAATTTTATTAGCTCTTAGCTGCTAATTAAAATTATTATTAAATATTTATAATTTAATTATTGGATGAAAATTAATTAGCAGTTGCACGAATCAAACCCTGTTTTAGTACCACGAGTCATGCAATTAACTGGCATTTGGCAAAGAAAAAAGCAGATTGTTGACTTCTATCCTTAAACAAATGAAGAACAACAAAAATATGAATATGAGGAGATTTTTGTAATTTTCCACTTTTATTTCACACCCTCTTTCTTTATGGATCTTAAGCCCGGATCCAAATTTCATACTTGCACTGGCCCGATATCCGACTGACTCTCCATGGAGCGAGTTGATCATCCTTTCTCTGCTGCTGGACATTGAAAGTATTTGGTAATCGAATAGCTTCTTGAGCTTGCCACGAAAAGGGGAGAGGCTTTTGCAAATGGGATACATACAGGAGGCGCGTGAAAATCACGTGAAGAAGAAAGTCGAAGAAGGTAGTATCACTACCCATCACCATCTCACAATTTCATGACTGATTAAACCCTAGTAAAACCCAGTTTCAATTCTTCAATTTTTTTTTTTTTTTTTTTTTTTTCATGACGTGATTAAAACCCTAAAGTTAAAAACCAGTTCCAAATTCTTGCAATTTTTTTTTTTTTTTTTTTTTTTTTGGCGTTTAAATGTAAACGAAACAATAGTAAATTTTTTTTTTTTTTTTTTTTTTGGCGTTTGATGTAAACGAAACAAATAGTAATTTCCATTTTTTTTTTTTTTAAATATTTGGATTTGTGAGCTTGAATGGATAGAAGTTTTGCAGCTTTAAGAAGCAAAATGAAGCAGAAGGCACTTAAAGAATGTGATCAATTGACTTCCAAATACGCACAATGTGCCTCTGGAAGAACCCTTTCTGTTGTTTGGCAGTGTCGCGAACAGGCTAAAGAACTCAACGATTGCCTACATCAGTTGTAAGTTTCATTTCTTCTTCTTATTTTTTTAATTTTCCTCTAATCATATGCATACCCTTTAGTCCATTTTTGAGGTTCTTTGATTGCATGTGCAAAACATTAGATAGAACAGGGGAAAAAAATCTGCTCAGTTTCATTTCTATGTACAAGTATCTAAACTTGAGAGAGAGAATTCTTTTTTAAGGAAAAGAATTGATGATAATCCTTGGGTGAGTTAGCCAAAGACCATCATTTCCTAGTCAAACATTTTTAATTATTCTCCCATCATCCCGGCTGAAAAACATCCTCAGTGTGAGGTCCAATTTAGCTGAAAATGTTGTCATATTTTGTACATCATGTAGATGACTTGCTGGGTTGCATGTTGTATTGACTCGTGTTTTTAGCATGTAACTTTAGTATTGTCTAGGAGCTTAATTAGCACACAATGAGGATGTTGTCCGAGGAAACTAATTCACATGCTGAAACGTTATTGGATATGGGGTGTTGGTTTGGATAAAGTTCAAATTATGGTTTTCTGTTAGTGCTTCACTTGAACCCATGAGATAATATCTTTATCATGGGAATTTTATTTTGATTTGAGTTACATCGACTCCAACTCCAAGAACATTTCTAAACTACTGAAAACAGTATTTTGCTGCTTTTTTAATGATTTCAAAATTTATCAAGAAATAAAATTTATATTGAAAAATTTATAAGCAAATATGAAAATTTTTATGTTTATGTCTTGTAACTGCTTTGTTTTATTGCAACATGACTTGTGAGGGTGTCAGAGGGTCCTACAGTGCTGGAGATCTATGGAAGATCCAACTGTAATTAACCATTTAGTCAAAATTTAAATGTATCCAGTGATTGTATAGTTTATATCCCCGTGGGCCCAGTTTCGGTACCATAGGGATCTCAGAATTAAGTTGTTGGTTCATGGCAGTCGATGTGCATGGAGATTATTAATACAAGTACGTCGTTGTTAGCGTGTAGAGAGGTGCAATTGTAGTTCATTAGCTGTCTATAGTTTTTGCAACTTCATACTCGTTTGCACTATGTTTTGTAATTGCAATTGTGTTTGAGAAAGCTGAAATTAAGTTGTTTGAGCAGAAAAAGTTAGTCACGGTGTAAAAGCATGAATTGCTTGAGTGTATACCTTGGTGATAGCCCCGGGTTCTTTTTTTTTTTTTTTTTTTTATGAATTGCTTTGAGTGTAAATAACCTTGGTGATAGACCCGGGTTTCCTTTTTTTTTTTTTTTTTTTTTTTTTGGCTGGCCATCTGAAATTGCCTTAGTTGATTTTGGCATTCCGGTAATTATTATACAATTGGCATTCCAAGTAATATTATGCCTGCCTAATTAATCACAATACTGCATATAAATTGTGGAACTAATTTATTTGAAAGTTGAAAGAATTATGTCCCAGCTAGTTACATATTGTATTCCTAGAATTGCTGGAAATACCCCATAAGGCAGAGTAGAAATGCAATTTTTAGAAGTATTGAATTTATTGTGTTTTTTTTTTTTTTTTTTTGGGCTGGCCATCTGATGCCTTAGTTGATTTGGCATTCCAGTAATATTATACAATTGGCATTCCAGTAATATTATGCTGCTAATTATCACAAATACTGCATATAAATTGTGAACTATTATTTGAAGTTGATAGATTATGTCCAGCTAGTACATATTGTATCCTAGAATTGCTGGAAATACCATAAGGCAGAGTAGAAATCAATTTTTAGAAGTATTGAATTTATTGTGATGGTTTACTGTCGTGGAAGAACGTTTGAATTTATTGTCATTCAAGTGTTCTAGCAGCTGAAATTTGGAAAATATAAGATTGGGTTTGGATGCCTTTTTACTGACAATAAAGGTAAAGTATTTGATCAGTTTAGCTCCAGAAATTCTAAAACCTGATTAACTTCCATAGCTGATTAGCTGAATTAAGCAGATAAAAGTTATTCAGTTTTGTTTAATTGTTTTGTTAGATTTCAGATTTAATTGGACTTCTTATTGTTGACCAAAACAGAAAGATCCAAATAATGAATCTATCTAATTTTAGTTACCAAATTAAACAAAATTGAATTATCTGAGACATACTCCTTTGGTTCGGAAATTCATATTAAATAATGGTTTAAATATTACTATATTTATGTCTTGTACAGTGAATTAAATAATATATTTGTTAGAATTGCATGCCGGCACGATGCAAGAAATTTTCAATTTAATAACTTAGTTTCTCAGATATGAAATCAAGATAATTGAAGGATTTTGTCGTCCTGTTTCCAAACCATAGTCAGCGATAAACATAGATTTTTTATTAAGAAATTTTGGTATTACACCCCATTTTCTATGAATTCTTTTTTCTCTTATCCCCTTAAATATTAAATCAGGCTGCTAGCAATGTTGATTAGTATTTAGAAATGAGAGGCATTTATGCATCTTTGAAGATGAAAGCACTAGGATAAATTATTCCACTGTATTGCTTGGCTAAGTACTTCCATATGCATTTGGAAGTCCATTCCTACTTGTTTTTCCTGGTTGGTAAAATGTCACTCCTACTTGTTAACCTGGACAAGTACTGTTGAAATTTCATTATCAAGTACTGTTGGAAATACAAATCGTAAAAGAAAACACAATGATTTGACACAAAGTTGCCACTATGTGATTAGATCTTGTCTAAATCAATACCTTGCCTTTTTTCTTTTGCAGCACAAATGATGCTGTCTTGGAAGAGATGAAGAAAGAATACATGCTTCAACAAGGTGGTAAGGGTCAGTAAAAACGTAAAGGGTTTACCAAGAAAGAATTTGAAGCAAAATTGGGTCGATGATTTGAAAGTTTTAGATGATTCATTTGTATTCGAGTTATGTAAGAGCCCTGCCTTTTTTCTATTTTACTATTATAGACAACCATGTTTATGGATTACGGATTAAAATTAGATGTATCTTTGAACAGTGATCTCAAATTAGTAAAATTGGAGCATTTATTGAGTTATTTAATGAGATTGTAGTAGTTGAGAATTTCAGTATATTTATTTGTAGTTTGTTGCTGGAAGGGAACGGAGACTTATGACTTACATGAACATAGTATAGATGATATTAAAAACAATACTAAAACGGATACAAGGTCCATGGTAATATCACCTAGGGATTTCCTTGATTAACATTGCTAAATTGCATATATTAAACACTTCAAGTGCTAACATTGTTTTATTGAATAGTTGGAAAATTGCACTAATTGATATCTCGTCCAGTAGTTGAAAAATGTAAAAATCATTTTTCAATTGCACTCCTTGTGCTAATCATTATTGAAGTAATTGTATTCAATACACAATCTTATAAGTTAAATATATTCAGTTATATGATGTAAAATGCAATATAAAGTCATGAGTAGCTTTTTCTGCGTTTATTGCGAACAAAAAAAAAAATTATGAACATAAAACACCCATTAAAATATTTAATTTCATATCAAAACTCAAACAGGTTCTCAACCACATTTACGAATCTAAATTTTTTTCATTAAAGGATACATTAGATTGAAGAACGAACAAAAAACTCATTCAAACCCGTTTGAACTATAAATCATTTCCAAATCCCTCATCCAAGATCTGTCCAGTAAAAATAAAAGTGAGTTATGATCTCTTCCCTCTAAATGCAAATTCAGTCAAGGGATATTTCAAAATGGCCCTAACCATAAAGATGGTAGAACTTCACGAGATCGGTCATCAATATGTGGGATGAGAATATAACACAATAAGAGTTTATTAGTAATCAAAATTCCACGAGCTAAAACAAATGGAGATTCCTCCCAACACAATCCCCAAAACAAAACCATCCACCATCGCACTCACACTTCATTACATACCGAGAGAAGGAATCTCCGCACAGCAAAAAATACATGCTACACCATACTAAAAGATTAATTTGGTTTCCTCATGTTTCGCCCAGCCCGAATCACTTCATCTACCAATAGCAACTGGGATGCAATTACAGGCCTGCAAAAACATAGAGACTTCAGGGACTTTGTTCCATTTGGGAAGAAAGTATAGCCAAGCTAGCTAACACTCCAAATAAAGTTGCATAAAACAGAGAGTCCAAGCAGGCAGATATTATTCGGTAACATAATCTGGACTACTGGGGAGGAGTGGGATTGGGAGTGGTCGCAAACAATAATATCAAATTAAGTAGTAGTAACGAGTTTCATATACCCAGAGTTTATGATTTGGCGCTTGACAGAGTAGTTGTCAAAGATGCCCTCCATTTGGGGGTCAAGAGCTCCCCCTGTTTGCAGGTTTATTCCAACAATATTATCCCTGTCATGCTCTCCCTAATAAAAAAGAAAATAAACTCTAGTTAGTTTTATTTCCTTTTGTATATTTAAATAAAAAAGAATAAGGAATAGTCGTGTTCCAAGGATAATTTACTGTAAGAGCAACAATCTCATCTTGAGTATCAAGCCCAGAATTCTCAGCCAGTGTTTTGGGCACCACAAGAAGGGCATCAGCAAAAGCTTCAACACCAAGCTGAGCACGCTGCTCCAAGTTTGCAACCAATGTAAATGTTTAAAATTAGCCAGACATAAAAATAATCATTCGAATGATGAAAATGTTTAGAGATTTATACCCCTTTCACTGTTTTCTTTACTTCATTGATGAGGTATTTCCTGGCAGCAAATTCAAATGCTCCTGCTCCCTGAACCACAAGACAATGTATCAAAATCTCAAGCAAGAACATAACCACATTTAGTTATATAACAGAAACATGAAAATTGAATCTCAATTTCTAATAGAATCAAAAACATTAAAATTTTATAAAAACAAATGAATTGCTGTTAAAATTTTAGCGCATTTAGTGCATGCAATGGAGTATTGTGTATATGGATTTTCTTCAACTTCCTTCCATGCATAAAACATTCTACTCAAGATGAACTAAAATCAGTATCAGCATTTGACGCAAACGATAACTCCAGCTGCCAACTGAATCTCAGACCACGAGTAGTAGCACCCTATTTCAATTCCTCCTGTCCCTCGAAATAGTTTGCAGTTCCAGTAACGTAAATCCGGATTAATACTTCTCCTGTTTTTGTTCATTAAATAATATTTAAGTACTTGAAAGTTTGTTTTAAATTGTCCAGTTTCAGAAAGGAAATATCTAGTATTAGAGACAAATGATCATCACTTGCTCAAATGTGAAACCAAATATTAGAAGCAGCAAGCACCAGATTCCATCATTCCACTCTACCTCGCTGAACCAAGACAAAGGCGTGATCGTCAAAATATCATTGCAGAGCTTTTAGTGAAGATGTCACATTTATATCTCAAAGTCATGGATGCATGTACATTTACGAATTAAATGCACAACAATATTCATCCAACTACATAATTGTTAAGTATTAAGTATTAAATTTATGGGACTCCACAAGTACGGCTGTATAGAAGAGTCTGTTGCAGAAAAATATTTTATCCAATTACCAACCCTAAGATTTCTATGAGGAAAAAAACTTACAAGTACAACAGCTTGATCTTCGATGGTATTTTTGACAGCTCTTAGGCCATCACGCAGAGCATCCTTTATTTGGGCAATTGTGTGGTCATTAGGGCCTGCAATATTAAAGAACTAAATAAGTGACCCACTAAGTAAGTAAATAGCTTGTGCTAAAAACAAATTTCCTGTGTCATGATTGACAAAAGAGCCCAATAACAGTGATTCAAGGAAAAGAATATATAGAACCTTGTATAATTATTTATTAAGTTTCAATACCTTTTATTAAGATTGTACAGGAGTGAGGATTTTTTACATTTTCAACAAATGTATATTTCTCTTCACCAAGAATGTGCTCATAAACCAATCCAGCCCAACCAAGGCAATCAGGGGTTAAATCATCCACAGAATTCACAGCTTCGCCTCCACAAGCCAAAACCAGGCGTTCCATATTTCTTCTCTTGGCTCTTCGAAGGGCAATTATCTACAAAATGTCAATGTTAATATCACTGCAATTCCAGGCAAGCAAACTGATAATAATAATAATGCAATAATCACATGACAATGTAGCAACAATAGCTTAACACGTATTGTAAAGATATTAATTAACTAAATTAAAATATAGCTAATGAGGATCAATGTCATATGCATTTACCCAAGCACTAGATCATTAGGAAATAATATTAGATGCTACATGACTTACCCCTGCACGAGCAAGGAGATCCAATGAAGGGGGATCAATACCCTTCTGATTAATGACAACAAAATTGTTGTCATTACCGGAACAAACCTGCATATGATCACAAGTATGAGCATTATTTCCCAAAACCACAATATTTTAGATACACTAAAAGCATACATATCATGCTATAAACATTAAGTGTGTGATTCATTGCTCAACCTTGTTTTTAAGTTCAATGATTCTTTTCACTCTCTCATCCACCTGGCGCCTTTCAGCAGCAACCATTGCCTCCCTTTGCTCTGCGTTTGAATAGAAAAATCCTGCATTTATTTCACTAAAGGGAGAAAGGGTGCATGCATTAGTTTCATGGCATCAAGGAACTATATCCAATTAACTGAAGGTAAGGCACTGCTGAATGCAAGTCAAATTTTACATTCAGAACACACTAATAATACCTTTTCTCATACTCCAGAGACACATTGCAAGTCAAGATGTAACAGTTCTCTGCTCGTCGCTTCATGTCAGGATGTCTAGAACCATGATCAAGGACTAGACCTTCAACCTGCAAAAGAACCAACGACGAAAAATAACCAAAGGTCAACCAAAGTATTTAACAGCAGATATTAGCATTTCAGGAAGTACAAAGTAGAAAGAATTTCAGGTTCAACAATTATGAAAACCATTTATACATTCGTCATTCATCAACCAACCAATTATATCATTTCAAGGATGATGATTCTGGTTCAGACAAAAGAAAGGCCTCAACTTGTACGTAAAATGAGAGTTTATGAGATTTACATTTAAAACACACAGTCATACTTAAAAGTAATTTTTCCTATGTGCTTTGAATGGTAATATCCATGTGGTAATTTTAATATCTTGCACTACTGCTGAACCAGCAAACATGCTAGACACTACCTTTGAGGCAATTTTGGAAATTAGTGAACACTCAGGTGGACATTGCCTGGATCATGCTAGGTTGTGGTGAGGATTAAATTTGGGCTTGGAGAGGCATTTGCTTCAATACACATGGAAAAAAAAATGAAAAAAAAAAGGAAAGATGGGGTTGGAAGCTAAGCGGGGGTCATAGAGAAACAGAAGAGTCTAAGAAAGAGAGAGGTAACATTTCCATCATTGGAGAAAGGTAGTTCAATGAGTTGTGGCATTGACAAGACTACTTCACCATGCATCAAATGATGTCTAAAAATAGGGATACAAAAGACAAACAGACAGTCGAAGGTCTGACATATCCTAACTTACAACAAATAGTCAAATACATTTGCCCTAGACTTATACTTTCATATGAAGTATATTTTAAAGACCTGACATCCCTGCCTCAAGTCTAAGCATGAGGCTGGACATCAAAAAAGGTTGCCCTTATAATTCAGTTTAAGCTTGATGAGATTAAAAAAAAATTCAAAAAATGATTGTAAAGGAAAATAATACATAAATATGTTCAATGTTATACTCATCATGTGTAAAGGGAGATCAAAGTGTCATATCCAGATCAACTCTTGAAAGATAAACCTACCAGCCTTGTGTCAACATCAAATTTATGACGCATGTGCATAATCTCCACCATGAATAGATCTATTTCTTCCTCCGGTTTTCTGATGCAGAGAACCTGTTATAGTTTCAAAACAAATTAAAATAAACAATATTTATCCAGAAGAATGAATGCTTTTAAAACAGATTTTAGATTTGCCCTTAAATACTTGGAAAAAAAAAAAATCAACACTAGTCCGCAAACTCACCGCATTAACAACTATATCAGTTAATTGATCTGCCAATGCTTCATATAGCTGTATCAGGGAGGGAGATGTAAATTTCAGACAAAAATTAATGATAAGCAATTAAGTCTGCAAGATCTACGGTAACAACAAACCATGAATTTTACCTTTGTTCTCAATGTTGTTCTTGCTACCATTTTTAGAATCTCTTTGTCAGGTTCATCACCCATAATCACGGGAGTCTTGAATTTTTCAAGAAACTGGAGTGTAGCTCTTTTGGCAACCTCAAAACCATCAACCAAAACACGAGGATGCATACCTGAAACAGCAAATATCTCAAGTATAAAGGCAACCACTGCCATGAATAAAACAGTTAAAACACTCGAAAATTTTCTCTCGTGGAATCTCATGACTGCTTGTTATGTTTTCCAATTTCAAAAAAAAAAAAAAAAAAAAAAATTTTAGAATCTCTTTGGTCAGGTTTTTCATACCGCATAATCAACGGGAGTCTTGAATTTTTTCCAAAGAAACTGGAGTGTAGCTCTTTTGGCAACGCTCAAAAACCATCAACCAAAAACACGAAGGATGCATACCTGAAACAAAGCAAATATTTCTCAAAGAGTATAAAAGCAACCACTGCCATGAATAAAACAGTTAAAACACTCGAAAAATTTTCTCATCGTGAAAATCTCATGACTGTTGTTATGTTTTTCCAAATTAAAAAAAAAAAAAAAAAAAAAAATGTCATAATAACTTCTCTATAAGGTAAAAAGGGGTAACAGAATGAAAAGGCACACTTGTCAATAGATTCTAGTTGGATTAATTATATTCAACACGAAGTATACATGAGGTCGAGCACACAATGAATATAAATCATCAGTCCATTTACCATCATATGGTTCATCTTTCAAAATACCAACTTTTTGACTTTGATGTTAGAATTTAACACTTCAATTATTATATTTGCGATACTTAAAGAAAAATGCGAGGAACAGTTCTCAGGGAAAGGCAAATAATTGCAAAGACAAAAACGAACAAATGATAAAAGGAACTTGAGGGGGAGAAGGAGAGAACACACAATGCAGCAACCCAATTATCAGATTGAGAGCCACAAAGAATTTAAAACAACCTTCATCGATGTACCGTTCCGACTGTTTCATAAGCTCTCCAATGAAAATCACAGTAGATGTAGTACCATCTCCACTTATATCATCTTGGGCAACAGCTGTCCTTGCAATCATAATTGCAGTAGGGTTTTGAATTTGCTGCAACCATTAAGCAAAGACATTAATTATGCAGTAAATATATAAATTCTAATGCGGATGAAACAGATTGCAGCAAGCATAAGCAAAACATAAGCTCTTCCAATACTTAAACCCTTTTTTTACACTTTCCCATTATTTAATTCACATAACAGCATCTGAAAAGGGAATGCTTTAAATTGGTGACTAACATTTTTTGGATAGACAAACATACACACACATCAAACGTGTAAATCTGCCAATAGACGCAAGATGAGAGACTAAAGCCCTAGCTAGGCAACTAACATATGGTTGTGCTACATGCCACCGAACTTGGATTTTACTAAAGAAAATCCAATGCAGATCGAAAGATCAAGAGAATAAAACTAACCATTTCTTTCAAGAGAGTGTTGCCGTCCTTAGTAAGCTTGATATCTCCGGCTCCACCAACAAGCCTGAATTAAAATTTGAAAACTATTTCACATATATCGAAACCAGAGATACTGATAAAAAATATACAGAGAGAGAGAGAAAGAATACATCTTGATGGTGCCTTTAGGGCCGAGATTGGTCTTGAGGACGTCCTGTAAGCCCTTCGCGGCATTGATATTCATATGAAGCGCCGCCGATTTGTTAAGAACCTCCGCATTAGGGTTCAAAACTCGTAGAGACATCTTCTTCTTACTCTTCTGCTTCTCCTCTTTGCTTTGCTTGTAAGCAGAGAGAGAGTTCTGTGCTTCTTAGGTAAGTGAGGAAGGAAATATGTACTTAAGTTTCTGAACTGCGAGAAAGTAGAAGAAGAAGAAGAAGAAGAAGAAAGAGTGGGTTTTTAGGGCTCTCTGGAACTTCTGTCTCTGATTTTATTGTTGTACACGTAAAATCCCTCCAGATTATGACTTAATACGCACCGTTTCAAGGATATTCATTTCAAAGAAGGAGCATTCGATCAACCGAAACTGAACCGAACCGACCCTATTTTGGATCGTTAGACTATCCACCAAAATCAATTCACTTTTTTTTTCTTTTTTTTTTAAATTTAGTTCTTCGGTTTCGTTTGGTTTTTTAGACTGAAATTACTGATTTTAATTGAAAGTAAGCAAATTTCGATTTAAAATGGAAAATTGAATCAAATCGATACTATTTTTATCGATTCAATTCAATTTTCCAACTAGAAAGGTTACTTCAAGTAGTTAAAAGTTATGATTTAGATATTTTAACTTGATCCAATTTAATTTATCCTTATTAATTTGGGTTCGATTTATTTGCTAAATTATTAAGTTTATTATTTGGAGGTAATTCAGTTTAGTTCGATCAAACCGATTACTCACTTATACAAAATAATACTACTAAAAATTTTGTTATTTTGTGCAATAAACTTTAAAATAATTTAAAAATTTTAAAACTTTAAAACATTGTCAATCAACATCTAATTTTTAACGTTTAATTTGACTTGTTTGATTACGAGCGGCTTTTGAATCTCCATATTATATTTCTCTTCTTTTTTCTTTTTTCTTTTCATTATTTTTCACTTTTTATGAAATAAAATATAAGTATATAAGTATATTTTATTTTGATATTTTACTAAGGTGAAACGGTTGATAAAACTAAAGGAAAAAAAATTAGATGCTTATATATTATTCCATAATTCAACTATGAAATTATGAAATAATATATAACCATGACAATTAGATGCAAAATAAAAAAAAAAAAATGAGCTTCTTTTAGCAATTAACTAAAGGATATGATTTAAAATAAAATAATTATTTCATATAAGTAACAAAATTGTCATGGTTTTATGAACTATGAAGTAGCGTATTTAGTCCATGCGCATTGAGTGTTTTCTATTTAAATAATAAAAAAATTATAGAATAAAATTCAAATATTTTAAATATTTTAATTGTGCAATAAGGTAGACATATAACAATTTTACAAAAAGCTAAGTGAAAGACTGCTCGAGAAAAATTGAACAAAGTCTCAAACATGGAGACATCAGAAATATATTGCACTATTTGTTGATGAAAGACTTGATATCAGCCATCAATTCTTGTGTCCTAACTTCAGAAAACTGAGAATTATGCAGAATTTGAAATGCATGTCCAACTCCTCTATAAACAACCTTTTCCACTTTCTTACCAACACTAGCCAATACTCTACAAAACTCCAAGTTTCTTTCCTTGAGTATATCCATTTCTGATACACAAACCATTGTTGATGGAAGATTCAAATTGCGCAGTTTATTAGCACTAATCGCGACAGGATTGCACCATGGATGATCGCGATTAGCCCCTACAGGCAGCGATAATCGCCAATAAGTATCAGAAGCTGATACAGTTAATGCAGAATTAGATTCTAATTGAGTTGTAACATTTTTTTCAAATAAGCTTTGCTCTTCTCCTCCAAAAAAAGGTTGGACCAGGATAACCCCCCTCAGACAAAATGGCTTGATGATGTTAATATTTGTGCTGGATCCTAGCCTTATAGCTACATTATAAGCAATATTAGCACCAGCACTGTCACCACCCAGAAACAACCTATTAAAATTACAATAATTTAACCACCATTTATGCTCAGGAGAGTCATTCCAAGCTTGTTGTTTTAACCAAATAAGGGTGTTGAAACCATCTTCATAAGCAGCAGGAAGTCGATGTTCAGGGGCTAAGCGGTAATTTAAAGAAACAATTATGCAACCTGCTTTCCAAGAAAGATTTGCTAAAAACTCATCGTAACAGCTCCAAGAAGCTGAGCCAAGGCAGAAACCGCCGCCATGGAAGTAAAGAAGAACAGGAAACTTGCCTGAAAAAGAATAGCTTGGAATGTAAAGACGTGACCATAAGTTAGTGTGTTGATTGATAATAATATCTTTTGAGGCCACACTAACTTCTTGAATGGTATTGCAGGGCACATTAGCAATCATTTGAGGCCTTTCAATATATCCATCTTTGTAAACTCTAATGAGTCCTTCAATTTCTTCGATAATTGCTCCATGGATGTGGATCTTGCTTCCTTGTAGGTTGATTCTTGGATTTGAAGAAAAAGTAGACATTTTGCTTCTTTTCTTCTATTGAATCGAAAGAAAGGACTTTTGTTTTTTTGGTTACAAACGTTCTTGTGTGTAAAGCTATTTATAAAGGAAGAGCTAGCCAAACAATTTGGTGAGCTTAAACGTGGCTCATTTATAGTTTATAGTTAAAAAAAAATATATATTGCTCTTTCACAAACTTGAAAAAAAAAATATTCCCTCTCTCTTTAAAAAAAAAAAATTCCTTTAGCATTACAAGTCTCAAACCTTAGTTATCTTGTATCTTCAACGAGCTTACAGCCGCCTTGTCCCTTTCACTTTTGTACAAATTTCTCGAAACTGAATTTTATACTAGTTTGCTCTCCCCTCCTAGGTCCTGGCTCCACACACATGTGCTTGATCATGTGGATTTCACAAATTAAGCTTATCAAAAGCTCAAATGAAGTTTTTCTAAAACCGAGCATTCATCAGTTCACAAGCAGCTTAATTCATTTACAAGTTATGGATAAGCCGTGTGATTTTGGAATTTTGGGTAAGACTAAAAAGATATGAGTTTAAATTTCAATTAAAATCTAATTAATAATAATAATAATAATAATAATAATGAGTATTTACACAAATCAGATGGTTTATAATAGTCATGATATTGTTTATAGGATTAGAGAAATTGATTTAAAGGATGAGATAAATTCAAAAGTGCCTTTTTACTTTTAATATTACGATATATAGATAGAATTTCATTGATCCAATTTAGAGTTGTGATTCCAACCTAAGTATGTGTGATCTCAAGGATTCTCCAATGAAATCTCACTTTCAGCTTTTCTATTTTTGTCCTTTTGATCACCGATAAAAATGAAAGTTTGACATTCATATTTGAAAGTTAACATTTCATCACGCTACTTAGGTTGGTTTGTTTCCATTTCATCACGCTACTTGTAAGGAAATATTTTTCACAATTTTTCATTATTTGGAAGTAGAAAAATAAGTCTAACCGAAAAAATTTTCCTGGTAAAAGGAAAATCAAGCCATTTTTAAGAAAAATAACTTCTCATTTTCAAGAAAGTGAAATATTTTCCGGACATTAACAAACTTGTTATAATCTTATAAATTTATATTTTTTAATTTATTAATCATTAGTAGCTACTACCACCAATAACTGTTCACCATCGGCGGGGACTTTCATAATTTATTTATTTATTTATTTTTTTGTATTATTCTCATATTTAGTCCCCATAATTTATCTTTTTTTTTGCATTATTCTCATATTTAACAATAAAAATTTTAAAATACGACATTTCTATTATTATTAATATTATATGGTCTTATGAATTAAAAATTTTAATATTTTTAACTAATTTTCAATATTGCAATCAAACAATGGAAAATAAATCATTTGAAAAATATTTTAAAGTAAAACATGTTCCAAAGATAAGTTAATGTTCCAGAAACAAATGGAGACTAATTAAGATTTCTAGATACATCAAATTAGCTGTGATATTGGTGATGAATGATTCTTATCGAATGGCATCCTTGTTGTACTCATTAGTGTCAATTCACAGCGAGACAACTTGCATTATTTTTCTTTGCCATTCATTAGATAATACACGTGCTAAATATGAAATGGGCAGACTTAAAATCATAATGAAGGGAAATTGTCTTTAAAACATCTATCACTTCTCGAGGTTACTGCGAATTTAAATGAATAGAGTTGAATGGAAATTGATTATATCCTAAAACATCGGAGAACTTCAACCTTGGACCTACCAGTTTAATGGTAGTCATGATTCTTATCTTCATATCCTAAAACTGAACCTACAAACTTGAATTAATGGTCCATTGATTGGGAGAGAGTTCAACTTTAACTTCAAAGTACAAGCAAATTGACACATTATATGCAAATTGATTTAAAACTTTATTCATCAAATCTCTTTCCATTCCATATCTCCTTATCTGCTTTCTTTTTATTCTCTCTGTTATTCTATAAATCTCTCAGCTGTAATCTCCAGATAGAAAAGATTTGATTTCTTCAGCTGATATACACAAGGGTACTTCAAGCTTTTTTGGCATTCTGGTTCAACCTGTTTTTTTTTTTTTTTTTTTTTTTTTTTTTTTTTTTTTACTTCATACCTTGGACCTACAGTCTTAATGTAGTCATGATTTTTTCTTATCTTTCATATCCTAAAAACTGAACTACCAAAACTTGAATTAAATGGCCATTGATTGGGAGAGAGTTCAACTTTAACTTTCAAAGTAGTTACAAGCAAATTTGTGACACATTATTATTTGCAAAATTGATTTTGAAACACTTTGTATTCATCAAATCTGCTTTTCCCATTCCGATATCTCCTTATCTGCTTTCTTTTATTCTCTCTGTTATTCTATAAATCATCTCAGCGTGTAATTCTTCCAGATAAGAAAAGATTGATTTTCTTCAGCTGATAATACACAGGGTACTTCAAGCTTTTTTGGTGCAATTCTGGATTTCAACCTGTTTTTTTTTTTTTTTTTTTTTTTTTTTTTTTTTTATTTTTAATTTTAAATTTTTTTTTTTTTTTTTTTTTTTTTTTTTTTTTTTTTTAATTTTAAAAAACACCATTTAGATGCTATAATCACTGAAAAAGCTAAAATTTATAGCACATGGTAAATTACAAATGAAAATTATGAATATAAAGTCTTTCCCTTTTTAAACAACATTGTTAATATCAACATTTTCTTTACCTGCGGGTCGTGGCTCAGTTGATAATGTAGACTAGACATGTGAAAATAGCTTTTGCTAAGCACACCTGCATGCAAGAAGGGGCGCATAGCGTTAATTGTAACTAAGCCCTTAGCTGGATTAGGCGATACTTGGTAATAAAATCCAGATACCGAAGGTTTACACTAAAAAAAAAAATATCAACATTTTCTTTGCTTGGTCTGTTTATGATCCAATATGTGCATTTAAAGATTAATGCTTATGTTTATATTTCTCAACAAAGGGTACAAAATAAGGATGGAAGAATTATGCAGCATTGATAATAATTAGCCCTTAATATAGGAAAAATTCTCTCTCCACCATTTAAACATAACTAGCAACACGGTTGACTTCACTCTTCACCGTTCAGACAGAAAGCCAAACTGACTTTTCAGGTGGATGTGAGTGAAAGAAGAAACAAAGATCAGAGGTAGAAATAAAAAATGAATTTTATTTTTTATTTAAAGTTATAATAAATAAAATTTTACTATATTCAGTTTTGACCACCTGGGTAAACTGTTACTAATTTATAAAATTAGTCACAAATTAGAAAATATTTAAAGGGCTACATCTTACTTTTTGTCATTTGGTAAGAAGTAAAATTTCCTAGTAAGATAATAACATATTTATACAAAAAATCTCTCCATATGAACATTTGAGAGACTCGAACTCAAACCCGACTTTCTTTTTTTAAAAATTTCAATGTACACAGTTTCTATCAATATATGTAGTTCTAATTCAATAATTGAATTAGATTTTCTTTTTTTTTAAAAAAAAATTCAATAGCAGCATGTATCAAACGTTGACGTTGCTAGTGTTTCTGTTCGAAGTTGCACTTAGATTATGCTTTATTCCAAGAAAGCTGCTGCCACAATTTATGCCAATAGTATTCCAACATTTGTGGTCCTTAAAAGCATAACTACTTTTTGCTACATATAGCAATAGTACTTTATTTACTGTACAGAACCAGCGCATGTCCTTCTCTAGTGTTTCGGATCCTCTAAAATTGGGATCATTCAATCAAGAACTTAATATGGACCATTGCTTGGTCCTTCATACACTTAAAATGTGAGAACAAAATTTGAAAATGAAGAAATAAAGGTGATTCTTTGGTCAAAAGCAAAAAGCTTTAGTTATTGTTATATCTACTATTGACAGTACAAAGTTGTAGAATGATTCATTAAACTGACTTAACTGTATATTAATGAAATTTTTTAAGCCTTTGAAAAGATACAAGGCAGGATGTCGTAGGATAGAAGAGAAAAAGAAAGGGTGAACAACAGATAGGTTCTTTTGTTACTGATTGATGAAAGTTCTGATGTGAGATATCATTTCTTGAATCCGAATTTGAGAGAAATGAGAATTATGCAGAATTTGAAATGCATGTCCAACTCCTTTGTAAATAACCTTTTCCACCTTTTTACCAGCACTAGTTAACGCAGTACAAAATTCCAAGTTTGTGTCTTTGAGTATATCCATTTCTGATATGCACACCATTGTAGATGGAAGATTCAAATCGCGCATTCTATTCACACCATTATTAGCTAGAGGATTGCAGTATGGATAATCGCGGTTAGTCCCAAAAGGAAGTGATAGCCGCCAATATGTATCAGAAGCCGATGAAGTTAGTGCTGAATTTGGTGGTTGAGTCAAATTTTTCTCTGAAGAAGTTCTTGCTTCCCCTCCAAAAAAAGGTTGTATCAGGATAAGACCCCTCAGGCACAGTGGCTTTATATTGCAATTTTCAGATATGACATTGGATCCTAATCTTGTAGCCACAGTGTATGCTATGTTAGCCCCAGCGCTATCACCCGACAGGAAAAACCTAGAGAAATTGCATTGGTTTAGCCACCAGCTATGCTCAGGAGAACCCATTGCAGATTGTTGTTTAACCCACATGAGAGTGTTGATACCATCTTCATAAGCAACAGGAAGGCGATTTTCAGGGGCTAGACGGTAGTTTACTGACATAATTATGCAACCTGCTTTATAAGCAAGATTAGCTAAGAATTCATGATAACAACTCCAAGAAGCTGAGCCAACACAAAATCCACCTCCATGGAAGTAAACAAGCAAAGGCAGCCTGCCTGCAGTGTTGCTTGGGAGATATATACGCGCCCATAAGTTAGTGAACTTGTCGATAATAACGTCTTTTGAAGTCACACCGTCTTCTTGAATCCCAGAGCAAGGAACATTAGGAATTATTGGAGGTCTTTCCACGCGTCCATCTCTATAAACTTTGATTAGTCCTTCAATTTCTTCAACTATGATTCCTTGATAGTTCTTGCCTCCTTGAAGGTGATGTCGTGGATCATAGGAGATGGTAGCCATTTTTTTGTCTCTATAGCATTTAGGTGTGACTTATGTTGATGGGTTTATGCCTGTTTGTTAACACTTGAGGCTTCTCTTTATATAGAGATTTAGAAGGTTAGAGAGCAAAGAGAAAGTTTCTATGGGGAAGGAAGCATCCATTTCCTTTATTTATCAAGTAGACTATTGAATTTGCCATATACTGATATGCTGTCAAATGGATTCTCATATGAGGTGGGAATTCTCACTTTTTTCAACTTATTTAATATATATATACACATGGTTTTGAGATTATAAGATGTGTATGCAATATTCATATTTTTCAAAAATTATATATACATATGCAGTCACTATTCAAGAAAAATTTTCAGTCTGAAATTCTCTGCTAAAATTGATCCATTTGAAAAATTATTGATAGCAATTAATTTTCAGTTAGAAAAATTATTCTTATCCATTAGCATTTTCAAACCACTAAATATGTAGTACAGCTTGCATAATAATTTGCTTTTCATGATTTGAAAGTCCAATATACATATGTAGTTTGAATTCCTTATTTGGTACCTAGTTGGTACCTAATAAGAGTCAACCAAAGAAACTTGTTAATACTTTGCTTCCTCGTTTATTCTTTCAATTCTTTTGTTAACATCTTTCTTGTAAAGATTCTCAAAATGTTATCTTTACAAGTCCAACGCACACGCTTCTCATCAAAATGACTCAGTCTCTTGACACTTAAAGGAAAAAACAAATTAGCAAATGGGTGATCTACATAGACACACATCTTCTGCTGCATCTAATTTAAACTTCCAGCTGTTTCCTGCAGGCTCAAGTTGATTTTTCTGTTCAGAACTTTTTCATTTTCTTGACATCTAAATATTCCTCTTTTCCTTTTCCCTGAAGAAAAAATTCCTCTCTTGTAATCTTCAGATGGGTTTTAAATCTTCTGTATAGCCATCTTGGCCATAGAAGATAATGACATAACAGTTATTTCCACTAACCAGATAATGTTTGACTTGATATGGATTTTATTTTATTTTTGCTTAATGAAACAAAGTTTCTAATATGGTCTAGAATGATAATCATTCTGAAATTAGTTTGCATTAGTCAAAAGACCTTCCTGTAAGGCATAACCATTAACTTACACCAGATATTCTACTGAAATAGTAAAAGAAATAAGAACAAAAAAAAATAAAGGACAAGGAGAAGTATTGAGCATGTGCAAAAGAAGCAAATTAAGATTTTATTCTTTGTACTTGCCTCCGAATCTTTTTCGCCTTCCGCCCTCCTTTTTCATTCGTTAAAGCATGAAATAAAGTTTTTTTTTCTTCAAATTTGACATCTTTATATTCTCTGTCAATTACCGGCAATGAAGAGATGAAAAATGAGTATGGCATTGGCATGTCAACAGAGTACATGTCAAGCCCTCTCCATATGTTTGGTTGCAATATAATATGAAATCTATATATTATTCCTGAAAATTTTCATCAAAGGTTCATGAATCTTAGTTCAGTATTCACTCGGATACATCCAAATTATTCTGCAGAAGGAAGAAATATTAATTCAGGTTTGAAGTTAAGAGCAAAGAATATATGCATATAAAAGGGAACGAAACAATGAAGATTTTTGCCATCCTCTAAAGATAAGATTTTGTTCAGTTTGAAAAAAGAAATTAATTCATATCTATATATCTCAAACATCAACATGTTCATTGGATGAATTTAGTTGCTCAAAGCTACATTCAAGTGCATATAGACATATAATTTTTTCTTTAAAGGGATTCATTAAAAAATTAAAATGGTTTTAGGCCTGCATTGTGAAAGTAGATTCATTACAAAAGGAAAAATGTAGGCATTCAAGGCAGTGTTATTAAATTTAGGAAGATGTATCAATGGTGAAGACAGCATTTTTTCCATATATAAAAAAGAGGAGCTAGTAGATAAAACCCCAAACCTCCATTTCTGTGTTGAACACTATTTTCTAGCGTTTGGTTTTGTAGTATTATGATATCATTATCTAGGGTCAAGTTGCCTAGCTAAAACTGTTCGGCTAAGTTCTAAATATAGTTGGTTTTAGTTCAGTTTAGTGAAAAAAAGAAATTTCGATTTTCTGTTCTTGGTTTTTTCGGTTCAAATTGATCAATTGCTCACCCCTAATTTTAGCATATACCATAATATATGTATCTCTTTTCAATTTTATCACATACAAGATATTCATGTTGATTAGGCAATCAGCAAAGGTGAAAAACTCATTCCATGTGAATTCACCCAAAAGCGAATGTTTTTTTTTTTTCTTTTGACAATTTTAACTTCCAAGTGAAAGAATTATCAAAGATCTTTCTTTATATGATATGGGTTTGGTAGTCTTTCATCAAGCCAACAATCTTCTCCATTTTCTTTCTTCAGGGGTGGTTAGTCAAACATTAGGGAGGGGGGATAAGGTAAGGTAAGGTAAGTTAGAATCGAATTCGAAACCGACGGGGCGCTGCTGGATGCTTCTGATTAATAGAACAAGAAGAGGAGTCAGCTAAAAAGAAAGACCACCAAAAGCAACGACCACCAAGACACGCATAGTGATTTGATCTTTTGATCACCGATTTTTGGAAAACCACCCTTCTAGATTTTGTCTCAAAATAAAATTCTGTTTCATCTACAACTTCCCGACTCTAATGATTAGTTTCCCTTTTCTATATATGATTCGATTCATTTCTGTGTTTCGCATTCTACTACTCTAGCTAGCCTGCCATCTAAGAATCGCTTTGCTGGGTCGGGATGTCACACAATATTCCAAATCCTTCAAGAAAAAATTGCATAAAATCACATTGCATTGCATAGGAAGGCAAAAAAGATGAACAGCTTGTAAAATGTGAGATCTTTTTATTCTGTTTTTCTTTTCTTCTTCTTCTTCTTACTACTCTAGCTAGCCTGCCATCTAAGAATCGCTTTGCTGGGTCGGGATGTCACACAATATTCCAAATCCTTCAAGAAAAAATTGCATAAAATCACATTGCATTGCATAGGAAGGCAAAAAAGATGAACAGCTTGTAAAATGTGAGATCTTTTTATTCTGTTTTTCTTTTCTTCTTCTTCTTCTTTTTTTTTTTTTTTTTTTTTGTCGCATATGAAATTTACTAACAAAATGTAATATTCAGTAGGTCCCAATAAGAGATTTTATGCCAAAAACATAAGCTAGTAAAAATTGCTTACCTTTGAAGTCCTAAAATCTTTTGTTTTTTTGTGAACCAGTGAATAATAAGCCACGTAATTCAGCCCATGAGAGTAAAAGCTTAATTAGATTCTTCCCATCCAGCAGAAAATTAAGGCTTTGAAGAAGCCTCGTGGATAGGCAAATGGGTTGCCACCCTTTATCTTTATTCTATAAAAAATATTCTTTTACTTTCTTCTTCCCCTTTTTGACCATCTTCTACACTTGCGTGTGTATGGAAGAAAGGTGGGGCTGCTGGTGATCTTGCAATTCTTTATAAGTAGTTCTTATCATAGAGTCAATGGTATTTTACCATTAAAAGGTTATTAAACGTTTATTCCTTTTTATTATCAAAAAAAAAAAAAAAAAAAAAAAAAAAAAAAAAAAAAACGTTTATTCCTTTTTGTCGCTACTATATACCTCATTTATTGCCAATTTCAGCAACATCAAATTGCAATTGGAAGTTTGTAGAAACCATTTTAACATACAACTTCTCATGCTTCTTCGAGAAAGGCCTGTATTTTTATTTTTCTGAGAAATATTTATCTATTCTAGATATATGAAAAACAAATATACAATATCCAGCTAATAGTTAATTGGAACGCTGATTCAGATGATTCATGCAGCTGATTGATTGGCATCTAGCAGCCGATAGCTTATAGAAATCACAAATAATGCTTATTTTATTAGCTACTTTTTGGAAATTTTTTGGTATTATATTTATAATATATTTTGACTTTATTGACCTAATAAAAATAATAAATTTCCAATAAATATTATTCCAAAACTATTTAATTAGAATATATATATGCTCAATGTGACATCCTACTGAGTCGAGTCTTTTCATAGAGTCGAGTTGAGTCGGACCAAACCAAACCCGGTTGGGGTAGAATGAGATTATAAGTGGACTTCATAGAGTCGAGTTAAGTCAGGCCAAACCAAACCCGGTTGGGGTAGAATGGATTTATAAGTGGATTTACTTGCCCTAGAAAATGTAGGTCTTATTTGGTAATTGCACCATACAATTAAAGAGATGGTTGGGAAGTATACGAGCCTTCCATTTGACCTTGCGTTCTTCATTTTCTACACGACCTTAATCATCTTCAACGTCTTCTTCTTCATCTCCATCTTCCTCTTCATCTCCTCTTATCTTTCTCTTCATCTCCTTCCTTTCTCCATCACTTTTCATGTGATTTAAATACTAAATTCAACCTAGAACTCTATCCAAGTAAGTAGCCTTTCTTAAATTTCATACTTTTGTGATATTTTAGATGATTTATAAGAGTTATGATGTAAAGGAGAGGGGAGCTCAAAGTTGGAGGAAAAGGAAGCTAAGAAGAAGATTTAAAGCTCTTTTGGTTGAAGGTTTGATATCTCTTTTAGTTTTTCACATTTTCTTTCATGAACACTTCTGTAGTGTGTGGATAATGCAAAGATATGTTGCTGAATGTTGAATTAGAGGTCTGTAAATGGTGATAAAGCATGGGATGAATTGAATGACACGGGAGCAAGTGAATAATGAAGTAAATAGTGAGTTTATGTTGAAACAGGTTTTTGCTGGAAATTTTACCAGTAACTTCATCTTGATTTTGACCCCATTTAATGATGGAATTAGGAAGTGTCATACAAGAGTTATTTGTTCTTCATTGTGTTAGCTTTACGTGGGTTTTTGAATCATCCAAATCGGAGTTGTATATTGAGAGATATAATCAAAAGAGTACAGACTGTGCAGGCTGGAAGACGCGACACGCGCGCGCGAATTGCATGACAAGTTCGCGATGCACTTCTCGCGCTCGCGAATTTGAACTACGCGCTGGCGACTTCCACCTGAAACTCTCTGTCTCTCATTTGAC